AAAATCTTTATCGGAAAAGACAATAAACAGTCAGCACCAAAGTTCCATTTCATCTAGAACCCTATTCCATGGAAGGATGGCAAATCAGAAGCAATACGATTGTATTCAGCATAAAGAGAAAGGATGGGGTCCTATAAAAATCAAGAGACGCACCACTGGTTGTGAAGAACCATTAGCATAATTATTCTCCATGGTTGTAGGCTCATTTTCGCATATGGAAGCCACAACAGGAGAGTAATCATCCACAGTGGTGCCATTGGATTGTACTGCTCCATGAAGAACAGGTCCAAGCTTAGCTGCACACCTGGCAATGACCCTCTCTCCAAGCTTCCAACACAAAGGTGCGGCATTCTAAATGACAGTAGACACCCTATTAGAAACTAAAGCACACAGAAACCACGCTGAAATGGCAGAAAAGAACAAGACAATTACCTTATTTTCTTTTAGAACACTAGCAAGAAGAGGACTAAGAAGCCCCAAGGAGATATCCTCACTTTCACCGAGGATGTCCGTCATGATTTGCTCCACAGCCCACAGTACATCATCTGTGGGATCCAACCTTGACCAAGAAGAGATCATCAAAAAAAATGACAGGGTATCAAAGGTGAACACTACTGAGAAAAGATAGAAATAAGTCAAGAACTATAATTTTATTCAAGTAAGCCATCAAATGAGAGCATTGACAGAGTGTCCTATCAAAGAAGTGTTGATATTCAAACTAGATCTTTTTCTCCAAGATGAATAGGATCACTACTTAATGCACAATATACTACAAAATCCTTCCTTGGGGACTGCTTCCTTTTCATAAACATTCTACTCGTATTTTGTTCATGATCACAACACCTTACCAGTTGAAGCATGTACTCTTCTTGCCAAAGATGACAAAAAGTGTCATATAGAAATCGTAGACATTGCCCATTCACACTAGTGAAAGGTGAACTTAATTTTTCAATGTTAGCATCAACAAAAGCACACATGAAAAGAAGAGCCAATATATGATAAAGAAACAGGAAGACAGAATAACAAAATCAAGAGAAGAAGAGATAAACTTTTCTACTACTATTTCTTGCGCTTCAATATTTTGATTTTAGGATAACCCAGCCACCATAATGTCATTTAGTATTTACAATGGAATTTTTTTGTCATCATAATCAGCTTAAGGCCAAATGTTTAGTGCAGACCCCCCTTAATTGAGTTTAGCAGGAGAATCTATTCCTATATTATTAAAGAGAAGGTCATAAGTACCGAGGAAAACCATGTGAACTGGTTAACCACATTTTTCCAACCATAAAAGGCAACCTACCGCGTATATTAGCTTTGGTGAATGTAATCAGCAAATTTCATAGTGTCAGGCTCAACATATCTGAGTCAAAAGTAAAATTACTAGATAAAAGGACAAGCCAAATTTCTACAGCCAACTTGAAGGACTCGAAAGAGCAATGTTAATAGAATTAGCAGTCAATAAAAAAGGTTCCCTTATATTCTCATCAATAGAAGAGTTTTCAGTCTCTAAAAAAAAATCCAATTATTATATGAAAGATAGAATATAAGTTAGTAAACATATGTATCCAGTAAGCCTTTTACCTAATGATTGCCCAGAAAATTTGAAACATCTGGACAACTAGCGCATTGCATTGAAGGTCAAGCATAAGAAGGTATGCTTTGACCCTTGCAACAGTCTCAAGAATGGACAGGGCCTTTTCATAATATTGCGTGGATGGCTGAGATAACTTAGAAAATGCCTCCACAATTAACTCAAAAATCACCTGCATGCAAATGAAATGGATTGATATGAAAACCATTTGATACCAACAAGCTAATTTTAATTAGAATGAAAAGTGTTGGCCACATCAAAGTACGATATCAGATATTACACCTTCATCTGGTCATCATTGAATGGCTCTTGAGGCGCACTTATCCTCAGAACCTCACTGAAGCAATATGTTACAGAAACTCTAACACCCTCAACAGAATGTTTCAAAAGAGAATCAGCAATTAGTGCCTTCATAACTGGAAGAAGGGAATCTTGGAGAGGGTCTGATGGTCCTTGCTCCATGTTAGCTAACAGATCCTCAGCATCCTGAAATGCAGTGGAACATGTAAGTCAAAGCAATAACGTACCTGATAAGAGAAATGCTTCCAAAATCACAAGAAGAAAAGGCACACTCATTGAAAATAGTAAAGAGGCGGATAAGTGATGTCATTGAACAGATAAAAAATCATCAAGCGTACGAGGGGGATCAGAAATCATAATTAGCAACAGAGTTTTGAAGCTCATGGTGGCACAAACATCATTAATCATGCTAAGAAGCAAACGCTGAAGAAACATTAAGCACAACGAGCATTGTAAATAAAGCATTCAGTTGCATCCACAACAAAAAAAAAATTAATTAATTTAAAACACCATATCTGATATTATCATACAGAACAGAGTTTGAAAGCCATTATACAACCTTCAAATAGAACGTAGATATTATCTGAACAAGGCCTCCGAGTAAAAGTTTATCTACTAGAGAACTTAGCATATCTGCTACGATTATTTCCTGATGATTCTTGACATGTCCCAATTGCCAGCGTTAGCAAGAGAAGATCCAGCAAGACAGCAAGGGGACATTTGACACATAACAATTAACAAATGAGTAACTAGAAGTACAAAGTTAACATATTTCACTCAAAAAAGTACCATATGAATCACAACAATGGGTGTTTTCGGACCAAAAAAAAAAAAAAATACCACAATGGGGACTGAATACATAACGTCAGATGACAAGAGATATCATATGTAGCCAAAAGGCGATCAAATGAGCTTAAAGCTGCAATCTTGGAAGGAAAAGGACATAATCTACAAAACCATACGAAGAATCAGTCCATGTGATACAGAAGAATGATGGAAAAAATTCAGAACAGAAATGACAATCAGTTCCAAAGGCAAAGAACGTTGATGAGTAGTAATTCGGCACAAATACTGAACACCACCAAACAACTATTCAAACACCATCAAGCTATCATTTTTATCCCAATGAACACAGCATAAAAACCCAATGCGAGTAAGCCAAAGAAACACTGTACACCAGATCATCGTATACAAATGCATGAATGGGCAAATTGGGCACCATACATCGAGAAGAGAGAGAAGTTCATCAGCAGAAGAAGGGGTGTTGAGGAGGCCATTGCCAACCAGTCTGAGCTTCACTTCCAAACTTCTCTCAAACGAGGAAGAACAAGACGCCATTTTTATCTCTCTTTACTTGGAGTGGTCACTCACCCACCCACCCTTACGCTAAAAGAACACAAAGATCACCGATACTTTCTCGCAGACTTCGCAGTGAGAGCAATCTGAAACTCATGGTGTGGTTTTAGAGGTGAATCAAAACTGGGCAACTCAAGAGCAAGAGTGGAAAGGCAGCAATTGGGGATTCGAAGCAAAGTGTAGACCATGCACGGGGATGCATCCAAGAACGAAATTAAGGAACACCCATATTCGGATTCCGCCAATACGATGAATTTGGTCTGAATTCTTGGGTTTTGAATGCGCTCCCATTTTTGGTTCCTCGGCTGGCTCCTTCGACCGTGGGACTGTGCTCTTCATTGGCGCTTTCACGTTTGCTTCTTTTGAGTGAAAATAATAATAAAAATAAGAGCTTTAAAGGTGTGTCATATCTTTGGGGACTTAAGGAATTTGGAGGACAAAATTCACTTTCCATTTCATTTCCTTTTTAGTTTTTCTCCAGGATTTTTGTACTTTTTTTTTTTTTTTGGTCAGAGGATTTTTGTACTTTAATCACTCTTCAGTTGGACTCTGAAATTTGGGTTTTCTTTACGGTTTCCTTGTGTGCCCAAATCAATTAATCTGCATTGTATCTATTATATTAAGACCGGAACTGAAAAAATGTTTACTTTATAATCGCCATGTAACAAGCCACATGACATAATTATGACCACTTATCATCCGTTTAGTAATTTGTTTTTCTTTGACAAAGCTTTAGTAAAACCAAAACGATATCATTTCTAGAAGGAAATAATATAATGCGGCTACAAAACGACATCATTTCCCTCTAGTAACTGTGCTAACGATGTCATTTTGATTTCTAATCCCAAAGTCAATTTGGTTTGCCTATTGTTGTCCTTACAAGTTGCTCCGTAAGATTTTTAACAGTTGTTTTGGACGAAACTATGATTAAGGTTATATTTGTCATTTTAATACAAGTTTTGGTTTTTAGTGTACAAAAAAAGTTTAGAGTATTAATATCACAATAGAAATAGTGTAGTGACAAAGAGTTTGGGATATGGATGTTATGATAGACAAAGTTTAGGGTTTTAGTGACATAAAAATGTTTTGAGATATTAGCATCATAATAGACATAATTTAGAGTTTTTAATAATATTAACCCAAAAAAAGGTAGAACACTAAATTCACCCCAACTTTGGCTCCGTGCACACCTTAAGGGATTAAAAATGACAAATATACCCACATTATGGATCCCAAAGTCCCATTGAGGCTATGTCACAGGCATTCTCTCTCTCCACTTTGCTCCCATCGCCCCACGCTCGGGGATGGAGGCTATCTCCGAGCACACCACCTTGGATCGAGCTCGCTCCGGCCAACTACCTATAACGGCATCCCAGCAATCACCGTGGCGCAAAGTTGGAACTCGAAGTAACAAGGGCGGAGGCAGGGACAGCAGCCCAAAAGCAACCCATTCCGCACGAGAGCCGTGAGGAGAGAAAAAGATGAGATGTTGAAGTGTAAAGAGCAAAGAAACGCGACTGGGAAACCCGCAATTTGGGTACATTCGTCATTGTCATTTCCTGGGGGTGGGTATACAGCCAAAATAGGAGTGGATTTAGGACGAGGCAAGGAACGACCGTGGACGAAAGAAACACGACAGCAATAAACAAAATTTGATTATTCAAAAAGAATAAACGCTGATTAAAAATTTGTTCTTGCGGTCTCATAACCGCCTTCAAATGAACACGCAGCACTGCTATTTTAATCCAACCTCTAGAAAGAGGGAGAGGGAGAGGGAGAGGGAAAGGGAGGGAGGCCATTCATACCCTGTCTCCGTTTCTCTGTCTCTGTTCTTCAGCCCCGGTATCGCCAATCTTTTCCAGCTCGAGTTCCCTGCGTCGACCCTTCATCACTAATCCCTTCCGAAGGTCGGTTTCGATAACCGTGTGTTCCAGTTTTGTTGTTTTGCATGTTGTCCATGTTTCTGCGTTGGTTTTGATTCTTTACTTTACGGATCTATGTTGGGTGTCAATCAATTTCGTTGTTCGTATTTAAAGTATAGAACTTTACGTGACCCTTTGCAGATCCGGTTCAACCCAATAGGCTTTCGGATAAGCTTCTGAGTTTTCTTTGTCGTGTCGATCGCGGAAGTCTCTGTTTAGAGGCCCTGAAATTTCGTCCATTTCGGTTCCATTTATGCCTCGGAGGGATGTCGCTGTTGCCCAAGAGCGACTTGATTCATATCCGCGAGGTGTGGAACGATAACCTTGAGCAAGAATTTGAGCTAATCCGCGCGATAGTCGACGATTATCCATACATCGCGATGGACACCGAGTTCCCTGGCGTTGTTCTTCGCCCCGTGGGCAGTTTCAAGAGCCTGAATGACTACCACTACCAAACATTGAGGGACAATGTCAATCTGCTGAAGCTGATTCAGTTGGGTCTCACGTTCTCTGATGAGAAAGGGAACTTGCCTACCTGCGGGACGGATAAGTGTTGCATTTGGCAATTCAACTTTCGGGAATTCGATTTGAATGAGGATGTCTTCGCAAGCGATTCCATCGAGCTTCTCAAGCAGTGTGGCATAGATTTCAGGAAGAACAATGAGAAGGGCGTTGATGCAAGGCAATTTGGGGAGTTATTGATGTCGTCTGGCATCGTGCTGAATGATAGCGTTTATTGGGTGACTTTCCACTGCGGTTATGATTTTGGATACGTGCTCAAGCTGTTGACGTGTCAGGATTTACCCAACACACAAGCAGAATTCTTTAAATTGATAAACATGTATTTCCCGATGTTATACGACATCAAGCACCTGATGAAGTTCTGCAATAGTCTTCATGGAGGTCTGAACAAGCTCGCGGAGTTGTTGGAAGTGGAAAGAGTGGGGATTTGTCACCAAGCGGGATCAGATAGTTTGTTGACATCCTGTACTTTTAGAAAATTGAAAGACAATTTCTTTAGTGGATCACTGGAAAAATATGCTGGTGTATTGTATGGTCTAGGTGTGGAAAATGGACAAAGTACACAATGAACATGAAATAGAATTTAGTAGAAGGGTTGTTTTTGAAGCTGTTTGTTCTACTTTGTCTTATGCAAACTCTGCTCTGTGAACTTTTGGCGGAGTTTTGTAAGTTAAAAGTCTCACCTTGCTATAATAGGTCCACCATTATCTTTTGGTTGTTTTGAAATTGATGAGGTAAGCTGGTTTAGAATTGTTTTTGGCTTTGATACATCTCAAAGAAGCTTTTGCACTTAAACATGTTTGAGGAGCAAATTATGTTCTGAACGGGGTCATCTTGTGAGTGTACAAATTATTTTCAAGAAAACATGTTAACACAATATCTGAAAGTAAAATACCTGGCAAGATTTGCTGTACTCCTGGATTTTGAAATCTCTTCTTCTGATGCCGGTTGTACCATCTTCCGCTTCTCCATGATGTTGCGGAAGTATCATGTATCAATTCGTGTATAAGTGAATTCTCCAGATGATGAACAAGAAATACACATATAGATTACCATCTTGTTTCAAGTACATTACCTAACAACGAAACAGTTTGTACTGCATGTTGGGCCAGCCACTCTTGCTATCTGTAAATCTTGCTGTCCGAAATGGTTGTTCTTGGATTCAGTTATAGGGGTATATGGGATTTGTGTCCACTTTTTTTGCTTCTTGATGTGTCCTACAGCAGTTTTATCGTGCAATGTCCTTGATATCTGATTGAGTAACCTATTGAGGTTCAAACTACTGAATGATATGTTAGAGAATATATGTTGAAGTTCTCCGAGCTGATAGCTAGATTTTTTATAAATGATATGCATCATTGTTGAACTTGTCCTCAGGATTTAGGAATGCTAGTTCATTTGCTGTTTGGTCTTTTAAGGCATTGTTACGTTACTTTGATGTGACAGAACACATTAAAAAATGTTGGTGTTATCCCTGCTGCTGGGAATTTTAACTTTCAGGTAAAAAATCCACCAATATCTGCCGTAAAGTGACCAAGTTGAAGTTTTAAGCAAAGTTCTTGTTTTCATTTTTTCTGGTAAACTTGTAGTCCTTTCTAAAACTTTGTTCTCTCCAGGTTTTGTTGTGCGCCCTCACTGCTAGTTCCATCGAATGCAGTAATCTCTCAGTTCCAGCATGATTGAGTGCTGTGTTGAGCAATGGGATGCGATCATTTTGTGTACTTGTTGGGATAGGATGATTTTCCTTTCTACAATTGAGTGTGATGGTGCCTGTTTTGCATTTGTTGCTGTTCTATATTCACTTAGGCTGCCTATTTTCTCCCTGAAAATAGTTGGCTATTATCACCTCCCGATGTTTCATATGCAGATAACATTGGGGTTCTCGGTATAGCATCCGGATACTTTAATGAAGTTGTCCCGTGAAACCTACAGAGCATTTTTGGCTCTATGATGTCGCCCCATGAAAGAAATAAATTTATTCTAAAGGCCTCTTTTTGTCCAAAATGACTGGCTAGCAATGGCTTTCATTTTCTATGCTTGATTTACATATTCCTCTTCCATTGTTAACATGCACAACAAAATAATGGTCCTTACTAGAATGCTCTTGGTGTTCTTTTTGTGCAACTGGTTGATTTGACAATAATCCTTTATTTCCGCACAGGATGTTCCTACAGTCTTACACGATCTCAAAGCTTTGACGGAGACTGCTATCAAGTGAGAAAGGGAATTTAAGGCACGGAGCTTTGATTTTAAGCTGAATTGAGGTCCAGGAGATGAGTGGAGAAGGAAACAGGTAATCTGGGGGAGACCACACATCCTTGGATGAGGAGAATTTATGCCCCCTAGGTTTAAAGGCATTTTCTTAGGTAACAAGTAGGTATAAACATTCTCTGCTGATTCTCACGGGATGTGATGTGCAACTAGAGATTGTTTCATAGAAAGACATGGAGTCATGGCCACTGTGCTATTAGTCATCGAGCCATGTGGATCCCACGTGGACTCTACCATGGTCAAGCTGCCGATAGCGGATTCCTAGCTTCATAAGTTATGCCATGGTCAAGCTGCCGATAGCGGATTCCTAGTTTCATAAGTTACGTCGTAATGGCTAGCAAGAGAACTGGGGATCGAATCATTTTTACCTGTCTCCATGGACATTGCATCCCAATCCCATATCCATTTTTGTTACTTAATTCAGTAATTCAGTTGGATTCAGATGCCTACCTCAAGCATTATGGTCTTTTCATTTGATGAATGGATTGTCGACATTGAGGTACACTTTGTTTTATGCATGCTTAACGAAAATGTCCTCTGCTGAAAACCTTGTTGCAGAAAATAAGAAATTAGCTCAATACATGAGAGAGAACAGAAAATCATGAACGGCTCACTTTAAGTCTAAAGAAACACATGCCCACAGGAGAGAGAACAAGGACATTATTTGCGAAGCTCGGGCTACTTTTTCCAGAACCGGTAGCAAAGTGGAGAAACCAATCTTAGCCTTTAGCTTCCAGATCCACCTCAAAGACATGTCGACACGTTCGAGGATCTCGGTGTCTTGCATGGACTGATGAGGAACAATTATTCTTGAATTTGAGTTTCAAAATGTGTTGATTGGCATCTAATTCAGTCAGCTTAGTACTTGCAAATCTTAAGAATTGATTATAATCAAGTTTATTAAAGCACTTTGTTTAATTATTTCAATGGTTGACACCAGCGGTGGCCGGATCACTGGAGTCCTTTTATTAACTAAATTCAAGAGATGTTAGGTGCACAATTTACGACTCACACACTTAAAAAAATGAAGATTCCCTTTAACTGATGAAACTTCCACATTGCATGCATGTCTAAGAACAACATGTACTGAATACTTGAAACTCGGTTTACCATACTATCAAAGCATGTGGCATAGATTTTTTTTTTTCTTTCGTTAATATGATAGACCGAATTAATTACAGTAAAAAAAATATAATACACATTTTTCGTGTACTTATATAAGTTTTGATTAATCCTCAAACGGTTAGTTGCTAAATATTAACACCCCGAAAAAAAGCCTAATCCAAGCTATATTTAACCAAGCAAATGCGACTCAAAATGTCATCCAAAGTTCGCTTTGCATAACTATGGCAGATAAAGTGAAAAATGCACATGACATGATTGCAGAGAAACTTGCCAAGATCCGTCTCCTCCGCACACATAACCAATAGCGAGATAAAAAGAAAATGAAAACAAGACCCAATCAGAAAAGGAGAAAAGGGAAATATAAACAAGACAATTTTTTTTTGTCGAAAAACAAGACAATTTTACATGGCAATTTTTATTCATGCATCTCCAGTTCCAACCACTAATTGCTCTCTCTCTCTTCTCTCACTCGCTGTCTTGGGATTCTCCAAGTCAACCCATCTTTCTCCTACTTTAAATACCTGCAGCCAGAGTTATTGCTTTTCAAAACAAGTTACAAACAAGTACCCAAAGCTTCAGTACTTACCCACCTACTGGTTGTTGCATAACTGGTTCCCAAAAGAGTACTTCTTACAGCTTATCTGAAGTGAAGTTGGAAACTCAAAAATGGAGAATGAGGAAGTCCCATCAGCTCCTTCAACTCCTGTTACTCCAGGCACTCCTGGAGCTCCACTCTTTGGAGGTGATCATAAGGCAGTGAGAAGTCATGGAAGGAAGTCACTTCTCAGGAACAGCTCTGGTTGCTTCTCTGTGGAACCTTGGTCCATGGAAGGAGGAATGCCCAGATCTCTGTCTAGCTCATTGCTACACCCACCTGTTTCACTTGCAAGAAAGGTACTCATTGTGTTAAAAAATTCGATTTTTAAACTGCCCCATTATTTTCATTGCCTCGTATGAATCCTGTGCCATTGCAAAAACCAGGTGGGAGCAGAATTCATTGGCACCCTCATACTAGTATTTGCTGGAACAGCCACACCCATAGTGAACCAGAAGACTAATGGATCGGAGACACTCCTCGGCCTTGCCGCCTCCTCGGGTCTCGCAGTCATGATTGTGATACTTGCGACCGGCCACATCTCCGGAGCCCATCTCAACCCGGCTCTCACCATTTCCTTTGCAGCTCTCAAGCACTTCCCATGGAAACATGTATAGAAGTTACCAAGATATCATAATTTACTAATACGAAAAATGTTCTGCAGGTACTGATAGTTTTGCTTTAATTTCGTTCGGGTATAGGTGCCTGTTTACATTGGAGCACAGGCAGTGGCCTCGCTGTGTGCGGCGTTTGCGCTGAAAGGGATATTTCACCCGGTAATGGGCGGAGGAGTGACTGTTCCTGCAGCAGGTGTTAGTGATGGTCAAGCTTTTGCTCTGGAGTTTATCATCAGCTTCAACCTCATGTTGGTTGTCACTGCAGTGGCCACCGACACTAGAGCTGTAAGGGACTCTTCGTGTTTGTAACTACTCTCTTTTGTTTTGTCTGAAATATCAGTCCTCATAAACAAGCCATCACAACTCCGAAAGAACAAATAATTGGACTCATCGCCATCACTTTGTCCAGTCAGTCTTCATTTCGGTTCAAAGCGAAGGTTTCTGTGATGATGACCATCTCACTGATACTGCACATGATCTTTACATGATCTTTGTCCAGTCAGTCCTCATTTATGCGGGTGGATATTATTTCCTTATAGGTGTGCAGATCTGTGATTAATTGGATACAACATGCATTGTGTCCTCGATGCAAGACAATTCATCTTAGTTTAATCCGAGGAAAAGGAGACATCTTCGGTGTTTCCTTCTGCATTTCCTCGAAATCCACAAATAATGGTCAAATGCAAGTGCCACTTTGGCACAGTAATACTGCAAAGAAATTAAAATTCAAACCAGTGCAGAGATTGACCTCTCAGGCTCTCACGTGCCCATGGTAAAAAACATCAGGTATCTAAAAGGAAGCTGGCTCTTTCCTCTCTCTATAATCGAGGTAACTGAACAGTAATAGATGCAGCAACGCATGGTCGCTTGCACTTATAATATTCCTGATCTCAAGTTCTCTTGTCTGCTGTTTGTTTCACGAGTAAAAGGAACACTTGCACATATGAACAAAATGAAATAGAATGAAAGATCCATTCGCCTACCCATCGGCATAGTTAATCAATTTTCGATTGAAAATGTACACGCAGGTTGGAGAGTTGTCGGGAATCGCAGTGGGAGCTACCGTTATGCTCAACATCCTCATCGCCGGGTAACTCAGAATTTCTAGTGGTTTTAGATTTTAATTGATTATGGAACTTTTATTGTCCTAAATACATGCCACAAAAATGCAAATGATTTCCAAGATTTCCACCACCAACTCAGCTTGTAAATCACCTTTAGATTAAGCAAAAAACGAGAAGTAAAAATCAATCCAAGCCGGCAAAATTAGGTATTGTCCATACTTATCTCGTATGGAAATCTATTAGACCTCCGAAGATACCAATGCCCGAGAAGTTCTGTGTGACCAACACAAAAGGACTTTCCTGCATGCTGAATATGTAATACCTTAAGACTGTATCTCTGTGTATTTCAGGCAACAGGCAACGTTGACATAAATACTGCTGTCTGTGTGTTTCGAGACAAAATTACTCCATCAAGCCAAAGGAGCTTGAGGAAAACAAAAAAAAAAAAAACAGCATGAAAGCACATTGATATCAATAAGAATAAAAACCTCTCTTGGATACTGATGAACAAACGTGATAAAACTTACTTTTCGTCCTTAGCTCATGCTCATACAAATACATAAAACCACTGAAAGGGACAGACTTGATAGACCAGAGAAAGGAAAAGGAAATATTGTTGAGTCAGTTTTGGAAACTACGGAACATAGAAATCAATATGAGCCACAGGGGCATCTCTTTCTGTTTCATTGCACAGGCCAACCACAGGAGCTTCAATGAATCCAGTAAGGACATTGGGACCGGCCATAGCAGCAGGAAAGTACAGAGGCATTTGGATTTACCTCACCGCTCCCATACTTGGCGCGCTTTGTGGAGCTGGAATATACACTGCTGTCAAGTTGCCAGATGATGGAGGAAACAACCACGAAAAGCCTTCAACTTTTACTTAGTTTCAGGAGGCAACAGGCAAAGACAACACCATACTGCCACATTTAACAGAAACTCCAATAAAACAAGCATGACATATAGATCTACAATATCAACAATGTACTAGGTTGGCAACGTATATAGATGGAGCTAGCTATATTGTCCTCTTCATTTCTATCTTGCTTTATTCCCTTTTTGCTTCAAACCAGAATATTGGTCTGTAGCTACAGTGAACAGAAGTTATGCATACATTTGGACATTTGGCTTCTTGATCTATGTATTTGGGATCGCAGAGAACATATGTAATAGAATAATATTCATCAAGGCTAACACAGTCATGAAACAGGGAAATCTCGTGCTTACAAAGAGTAGATTGGTGGTAAATGATTGATAATTATGGATTTCAACAACATTGCAGGTGAAATTTGCAATCTTTGTATGGTCTTAAAACATGCTTATGAGGCTTATAGAACTGATTACCGTGCACAATCCATGTAGAATCTTATGCGGCTTTCTTGGGAACTCTATATGATTTTTAAGATATGACTATTAGGGTCTTAACATCAGTACAACACAATGAAACAACAAGTAAACTTGAGATGTACAAAGGAAGTTTATAAACATTTTTTTAATAGGAAATGTGTCAAGCACTCGTATATACCCGACTGCACTGTTTATGGAAGTCATGTATTGGAAAGAAAATACAAAACCATGAATCGAGCAAACTTAGTCTGTTTTAGATCACGCATTTAGGCTAGTAGTTGGCAATAGTCCCTGACATCGATTGTTACAAACGCAAAGCTAACTTACTCAGCGGCAGAAAGAAAACCACAAGTTAAGCAATGGTATCTGTATTGCCACGTCACTAAGCATAAGAGCTAAATCTAAACTTCGGAATGCATTTACTTCATATTCATCTTACTTCAGAGAGGAACATCATTCTTGACATAATCTTTTGCGATCATCACAGGAACTTAAATCGATTCAAATTATGTCTCCATTGACAATAACGAACATGCCAACACCTCCTGTGATTAACTGAACCATGGACTACACTCTGCTGTCTTGACAGGAGCAAAATGAAAAAATCGAATCTTGTCCCAAAATTCTAAGCAACACAACATACTTAATGCCGTAAAAACTGGACTACGCTAAGCAGAAAGAGTTGGTATCCCAAATAGCACCCACCTCAAAATTCAAGCTTTTTTCGAGTACCTCGCTAGAAGATCCAGCATTTCAGAGCTTCACAACTATCCTTCTCCGATGTAGCAATCAGATCGAGATAAAAAAAGCCGCAAATTCTTCACCAAAACGAAGCAATGAGACCCAGCAACCCGCTCAAACGAGTCAAACCATCGAGGCAACACTGGGCTGACCCGTTTCGGAGTTGGGTCGGGTCGAGGACCTGCGGCTGCGGAGGGAGAGGGCGCAGGCGGCGATAAGGACGCCGAGGACGTCGGCAAAGGCGTCCTTGGCGGAGGCGCCGTCGGAGGGGAAGATGCCGAGCTGGTCGGCGGCCTCCTTGGCGGCGCCGGCGAGGAGGGAGGCGATGGACCCGACGAGGAGGGAGTGACGGCGGAGGAAGGGGCGGTTGGTGAGGGAGGCGAGGTAAGAGAAGAGGAGTGCGAGGAAGAGGCAGAAGAGGACGTGGTAGAGCTTGTCGCGCGCGAGCCATGGGTCGTCTCGAGAGACCATTGTCGTTCACGTCATGCTCCAGCTGAAACTTTGGGATTTGAAGGGCGAAATGGAGATGCAGGAAAACAGGCCTACTTCCAAAAACAAGCACATGACTTTTAGGCAGGCATTTTGCTCAAGGCAAATGCATTGAGGGTGCATTTGGGAATGTACTTCGGGCATATAAAGCCCTTTGGGCTAAAATATGATATTTGGAAACTTTTTTTAGAAACCCCGTTGAGCCAAAGTTGACTTTTTGAAGGCTAAAAGCCCAAGGTAGCCTCTTAGGTACCTTGGCATTTTAGAATTTTCGATAAACAATTCTTTCAAAACTATCCTCATCTATTTTTTGATTTTTCGATTTTGCCCTCGTTTGTCACCGTTCATCGTCTTCTCTGCTTAGCTCAGTGGCGTGGCCGTGAGTGGACGGTGACGGGCCGAAGAGGGGTCGGCGTGGTCGCGCAACCCATCGACCGCCGTTTGGAGTCGCACGACCACCGTGATGAGCCACTCGACCCAGGCGAGGGCCGCCTGAGATTGCACGACCTAGATAGCCCTCGCCGAGAACTCGCACAACCTCGGAGAGGTGACATGTGATTTCGGCTGAGATCGTGCTACCCAGACGACCCTCGAGGGCCGCCGGCGATCCAGATCTAGCACCAGCGGCTGTTGTCTGAGGCCGAACGACGAGGGCAGCCCCCAGCGACCACCGATGAGGGTCGCTTGGGTTCAAGCGACCCCCGACGAGGGTCGCGAAACCCAGGCGAGGGCCGCCGGCAACCCAGATGTGACGCCTCGCGGCCATCGTTTGAGGCCGAACGACCTCAGGCAATCCCGGCAATCACCGACCAAGGCTGCCTCGCCTGGATTTCGCATGGCCCTCGTTGGTTGTCGCCGAGGCTACCCTCATCGTCCGGCCTAAGACGACGGCCGCGCAGCGTCAAATTTGGGTCGCCGGCAGCCCTCACCATGGGTTTCGCAACCCTCATCGTGGGTCACTCGACCCCAGGCGGCCCATGTCGGTGGTCGCCGGGGGTTGCCCTCGTCGTTCGGCCTCAGACGACGGCCGCCGACGCCAAATCTGGGTCGCCAAAGGCCGCCTGCCCTTCACCGACTCCGGCGAAGGATTTCAACTTTTTTTTAATAAAAAATATAAAAAGTGCCTTGCAAGTATAATTTTTCCAAACGCTATTTTACCTAAAGTTGATTTACAACATACGTTTAAGTTACAACTTACCAAATACAATTTGTATTTTGAAAAACTCGAACTTAAAGTCATTTGCATTTTGCCAAAGACTTTCTCCAAAGTTCCCAAATTAGTTGTTTCCTTTTTAGTGTAGCTTTTTGCAAATTATTTTAAAATTAAATAAAAAAGAAAAGAAAAACGCTTGGCACTGTTCATCCTCTTCGTTGAAGCGAGGGCTTGAGTTTGCAGCATCCCCCATCTCTCTGCAAATCCTCAATCCGAAGCCCCGATCCATCAAAACACTAACTCTCTCGTGTTGGCTACCATGTGATGCCTGAGATTGATCGTGCCACACCAGGCAGACAATACGTTGTCGAGGTCGCGCCAGTCGAGGGCCGTGGAGGATGCGCGACGCCAGATGAGGCAACGCCGAAGACGCACGGCTGCGGGGCCACGTAGATTTGGCCCTTCAACGGTCGAAGCGAGCCAGGCGAGGGCCGCGGAAGATGTGCGACACCAGGCGAGGCAACGCTGAGGTTGGGCAACCGTCGGGCGACTCAGATCTGGCCTTTCGACGGTCGAAGCGACCCAGGCGAGGGCCGCGGAGGATGCGCAACGCCAGGCTAGGCAACGCCGAGGTTGCGCGACCACCGGACGACTCAAATCTAGCCCTTCAACGGTCGAACCGACCTAGGTGAGGGCACTGGAGGATGCGCGACGCCAGGCGAGGCAACGCCAAGGTTGTGCGACTACCGGGCGACTCAGATCTGGCCCTTCGACATTCAAAGCGACCCAAGCAAGTGCCACGAGGACGGGTGACTTCGACGTCGTCCCTCGACCTATGGGATCTCGACCTCAGTGACCGTCGACCTTGACCTTAGGGCGCGAAGGGTAACCATTCTGCTCCAGAAATCAAATTCTTGCTAGAAATTGATTTTCGAAATTTTTATCAGAAATTAATTTTTGGAGGAGAAATCTGTTTGATAAAACATGACTAATTCTGCTCCAGAAATTGATTTTTATTTTTTTATTTTTTTGGACACCTCAAAAAAAAAATTTCACAGGTGCCCAAAAGTATTCTAAGTCATTTTGTGAAGTTTTAAAATTTTTGATTTTTTGATTTTTTGATTTTTTTGGGCACCTCAAAAAAATTAAATTTCACTCAAAGTGGGTGGCCAAAGGTATTCTAAGCTATTTTGTGAAGTTTTGAAATTTTTGATTTTTTTGGGCACCTCAAAAAAATTAAATTTCACTCAAAGTGGGTGACCAAAGGTATTCTAAGCCATTTTGTTAAGTTTTGAAATTTTTTATTTTTTGATTTTTTTGACACCTAAAAAAAATTAAATTTCACTCAAAGTGGGTGCCCAAAGGTATTCTAAGCCATTTTGTGAAGTTTTAAAATTTTTGATTTTTTGATTTTTTTGGGCACCTCAAAAAAATTAAATTTCACTCAAATTGGGTGCCCAAAGGTATTCTAAGCCATTCTGTGAAGTTTTGAAATTTTTTATTTTTTTTATATTTTTTGAAAAAAATTCACCAAATTTCCTATTTTCCCGAAATCTGAATTTTTTTATTTTCTGGAAATTTTTATGAATTTTTCTGGAATTTTTCAATTTTTATGCATTTTCTGAAAAAAAAAATTAGTGAGAAAAAGAGAGAAAATAGGGAGAATGCATTCTGGAAGAGAAAAGCTACAAAAAGTAACTTCTCTTTTTCTTGCCCAAAACTCATTCTGGAATAAAAAATGCATTCTGGAATCAAGAATGCATTCTGGAATCAAGTATTTTAACAAACGCATTTTTATTTCAGAATGCAAAAATTGCTCCAGAATGCATTCCGGAAATTTTTTAACAAATACATTTCTGTTCCGGAATGCATTCTGGAGCAGAATTTCTACTTCAGAATGGATTTCATGCGCGCCCTAGGGCGCGCATGGAATCCATTCTGGAGCAAAATTTCTGCTTCAGAATGCATTCCGGAACAGAAATGCGTTTGTTAAAAATTTCCTAACGCATTCCGGAGGAATTTTTGCATTCTGGAGCAAAACGCGTTTGGTAAAAATACATTCTTTTTTGGTTTCGTAATGAGTTTTTGCTTCCAGAATGTGTTTTGGGCCAAAAAAAAGAAGCTAGTTTTTGTAGCTTCTTGATTCCGGAATGCATTCTCCCTATTTTCTCACAAATTTTTATTTTCAGAAAATGCATAAAAATTTGAAAAATTCTAGAAAAATTCATAAAAATTTCCAGAAAATAAAAAAAAGTCAGATTTCGGGAAAATATGAAATTTGGTGAATTTTTTTTAAAAAAAAAAAATCAAAAATTTCAAAACTTCACATAATAGCTTAAAACACATGTGGCCACCCACTTTGAGTGAAATTTAAATTTTTTTAGGTGCCCAAAAAAAATCAAAAATTTCAAAACTTCACAAAATGGCTTAAAATACCTGTGGCCACCTACTTTGAGTGAAATTTTAATTTTTTGAGGTGCCTAAAAAAAGAAAAATAATAAAAAAATAAAAATTTTCAAAACTTCACAAAATGGCTTAAAATACCTGTGGCCACCCACTTTGAGTGAAATTTAATTTTTTTGAGGTGCCCAAAAAATTAAAAAATAAATAAATAATTTCAAAACTTCACAAAATGGCTTAGAATATCTGTAGCCACCCACTTTGAGTAAAATTTAAATTTTTTGAGGTGCCCAAAAAAATAAAAAAATAAAAAAATTCAAAACTTCACAAAATGTCTTAGAATACCTGTGGCCATCCACTTTGAGTGAAATTTAAATTTTTTTAGGTGCCAAAAAAAAATTAAAAAAAATCAAAAATTTCAAAACTTTACAGAATGGCTTATAATACATGTGGCCACCCACTCTGAGTAAAATTTAAATTCTTTTAGGTGCAAAAAAAATCAACAAATCAAAACAGATTTCTGTTCCATAAATCAATTTCTGGAGCAGAATTAGTCATGTTTTACCAAACAGATTTCTCCTTCAGAAATCAATTTCTGGTAAGAATTCCAGAAATCAATTTCTGGCAAGAATTTGATTTCTGGAGCAGAATGGTTACCATTCGCACCCCTAGCGACCGGTGACTTCACCTCAACTACTCAGCCATTGAGCACATAGATGAAAGTAACTTTTAAGGACAAAAGTGGAACACACAATTATCAGTGAGGGCAATAATGAAAAGTAAAAAAGTCATTAAACCTCCCACAATAGCATTCTCGGAATGCTAAAAGCCCAAAGCACCTCCTTACCTGCTTTGGGCTTTCAGCATTCTCAATGCTAGCATTGGGCCAATGAAATCTAAAAAATGCTTGCCAAACATTTCATATTTTTCCCAAAAGGCTTTAGGGGCTCAAAGTCTCCTAGGAAAGCCGAACCAAATGGGGTCTTAGAACTATCCAACTTAACTATTCCACCTCAGCAATAAATCCACGCAGTTTGTTGACTAGATTTAAAACACTATTCATTGTCATCTTCTCTTAACCATAGTTTGAAGAATAATGGTAAAACTATTCATCTCCTTCACTTCATTTGCATGTCAAAAAGATCTCCAGATTGAATCTCTTTTATCAGACTTTGTTGTTTTGTCATAATTTGAAGTTGTATACTACCGCCCGTCAACAAACGCCATGGAAGAGATATGACAATCTCATGATCATAGCTTTTTTTCTCAAACAAGAGTGACTTCATACAGAAAGTTAACGGGGAGCTAAATTTGGGATAAGGGCGAAAGTTAGTCATTTTTAATGAAATAAAAAAAAAGTTTAGACCAAAATTGTCACTCGATCTAAAGTTGGTATTTTTTTACGGAACTAAAAAAAGTTTAGGCCAAAATTATCACTCGACCTTAAGTTTGTGTGTTTTTTTGGAAGTAGCCCGAGGGAAAATGAGAGTTGCCTTTTTCTTTCCTTTTTCTTTGAGTCGATGCACAAGCAAATCTTATGTTTTGCTAATTGCCGTAGATTAAACTTAAACGCGAGTGCTTGTAGTGTGGCAAAATCTTAATTGCCCAAATTATGAAGTCGAAACAACGAGTATAGAGTACTAAAATTGAAACATCTTATTGCATTTTCTTAATTTATGCGGCTGGTGTCGTACCTGAAGACATACCCAAATCCTTCTAATTTCAAGCGGTACGTTTTGCCTCATAATGGTTTGAGGACATATTTCTCGGTTCTGTTAATAAAATTGAAGATGATGATAGCTAGCAGCGGAGATATTCCAAAATCACAAACGGTATGCAACCACCACATGCTCAGCATTCCACATGGTTGTGGCTACACAGAGAGTGCAAATACCTATAATCAATAAGGAGGAGGGAAGGAGGAGAACAATTATCCTTGAGTTTTATCACTACAGACAGAAGAAAGCAATACCACTAGCATTAATTTCAAAATTTAGATAAGAGCCACAAATTACAAAACTGTATCACTAGTCCAAGTCTGTCTTCACAAGCAAGATCAGCCTATGCTAGTTCAATTTGCTGATTAGTTCATTGATGTGATCCTCTCGATTGCCAGTCTCTCCCCCATCCTTGTACATTCTTTTAGTTCTTCTTAGGCCTCCGTCCGGCTTGTTCAGCATAAAAGGCCACAGGAAGCTAGTAACCTCCTTAAAATGTGGACCCACATTTGCGATCTCATGGACTATATCCTCCGTGCATAAGATGCCATACTTGCCCAATTCCTGCTCAAAACAAAATCCCAAAAGAAGGTTATTCACACACACGAAACACAAGACGACACATGATGATACAAAGGGGATTGGAAAAGTCTCAACAAAATTAAGGGAAGAAAGCAGATGCTTCGTGAACAAATTTCATCGACTAGATTTCATGATGAAGTACCTGCTCAACAATGTTATTGTCCGTCAAAGGAACTCTCTGCTTGTCAATGTTTGCAAACCCCTTCTTGATAATAAGCTCCCTCACATTGGCAAGGTTAGGATACCTTCAAAAAGGAAAAAAAAAGATCCTCCATGAAATGCCTAGGTGCAAAGGACTAAGTCAGGTTAGGATAATCATGAAGGCATTAACAGGGGTCAAAATACTCAGAGGGCATATGTAGAAGATGGCATTCAAATGCTAATTGTGATGCTAACATTCAACTAAGGTCAGGTAGTAAACTCTACTCCAAGGGCAGACGACTATTAATGACCAATAAATTCTTATTAAGAACTGTCAAAGATGGAGATGTGGAAATAGTCGAGGCCTGTATTTTTGAATTATTAAGAGTACTTATGACTTATCAAATGCTCCTCAAGCTGAGGGATGTTACTAAGCATTTTAGGCCAGCTCCACTAATATTCAGCAGCATGTGATCCATGGGTCCCAAACAGGCAGGGCCTTAAAAGACAATTTGTATTTCTATCCACTCTAAAAAATTTCAGTTTGGTTGACTTCAAAGAGTCTTCTGCAGTTGAACCACAAGTTGAGGAACAAACCCCAAAAATGTCACCAGCTCCTACAGCTGTCGGCAACATGACAATTACTACTACAAAGAAGGATGTGAAGCAGAATTTAAGTTGCCTACCCATATGTGACATACGGCTCCACCTTTTGCAGCATCGCCAGGATTGCATCAGTTGCCTTCACAAAGATACCGCTGAGGACTCTTCTTAGTCTCAGATTGTTTAAGATCTTTTTAGTTTTTGGATGCATGTCATTTTTCCTGGGAGGAGGAGAAGGTAGAGTTCAGATTGTAAGGACAACTCTAGCAAACTACCCATAAGAAAGAACCTCCACTAGGCAAGAATCCCACCCTTGAATGCGGATAATGAAGAGCAGCTTCGAGTTCAATGGAGCTACAGGCGGCACTCGTCTCTTAACCCTATGTTTCATTCGGATGAGATCAAGTTCCTGCACATAAAAAAGTAAGGTAAATGATTTTGTGTCCCGTTTCGTTTATTTTCCACATTCAGAAGTCAACAGAGGACCGCATGGACATCATCAAGAAACCAAAAACAACCTATGCTGTGAAACCACTGAATGTTCCCGCAAAATTGTAGTTGTAGCACCAGTTAATTCAATAGTAAGCATAGTCAACCAAAAAAAGGAAAGAACAAAAGGAAAGTTACAAAGACAATGGCTGAAACATGAGAGGAAAAAGGGTCCAACTAAGCTGAAGGTGTAACAAAGTCCATTTAATACCCAAATACCTCTACAGCTTAATGGAAGTTCTCAGCAAAGTTCTTATTCCACTGGTTAGGTTACCGGGTAGGCGTTACAAGCGAACAATTAGCCTCCAAAATCATTGTGGCCAACACTATGAAGCTGACTCTTCATAGAGCAAAAGTCAAGTGTTCTCAACAATTGTACCGTCGAAGCAGCCACCATCATACACGAATGTCTCCAAAGCACCTATTAAATCGGTCCCAAACGGATAGACACCGAGAGGACAAACTATGATAGCCATCCACACACTAGCCAAGCAAGCCTAAGCAATTGAATTACACAACCTTCTTCCACGATAATTGAGATTTAGGAACCCAATCACGAATTACTGTTTCCAATTCCCAGTAAACCCGCAAGCATCCACACAAGCTACACAGGACGTAACGAACCACCGCGATGATATCCAAACTAGAGTAGAAAGTTAAAAAAAGAGACAGTACCTTGTCTCTATAATCTCTGATGAACTGCTCGGGCATTTTGAAGTCGCTCGACTTGGATTGCTTCGACCTCTTCTGGCTCAGCTGGAGCTGGGCTCTCCTCCGGAGGGCCAATTCCTCGGTGCTCTTCCTCTTCTTTAGTATAGCCTCTTGCACGTACGTCAATGGCTGCGCCGCCGCCGTCGCCGCCTCCTCCGCCATCGAATTCCCCCAAATCAAAGAGCCCTGGACTAAGAACAGTACACAAGCGTCGATGAGCCAGTGAAACGGTAACCATCGCAGCGAACAGGTTGAGAAGAAGCTACCTGATCGGCGGATGAGCGCAGAAGAACGACCACAATGCGTGCTTCTACTTCTGGCGGCGAACTAGGGTTTGGCCGAGAGGTTTAAGCGAAAAAGAATAAACGCTGCCGATTATATCTTTTTCGCTGTAATTTTTAAGTAATAAATAATTCTAACAATCCCCACTTGTGCGTCTGACAAAACAAGGGCATGCAATGCTGCAATACGGCAACTATCATCTGATATTCTTTTTTTGTCTAACATCGTATAATAATTTTAATTGGTAATTAATATGGAAAAATCAACCCGAACTGTCGAAAAGGATCTCAATACTTGCACTCTATCTTGGCCGTTCAAGAAAAGGGGGATTGAATGGATTTAAATAGGAGTGTATAAAACGGACCGCCCAAATCGAGAATAGGCTGGACCGGATCGAATCGGCCAATTGAATCCGGTTCCTAATTCCTAAAAATAGAATCGGTGTCCAGGCGGTCTGGTTCCCGTTTTTAAGAGAGAACTGAACCGGATCAACTACATATTTTTTTTTTTGCGATTATGTGTAGTCGACATAGGGAGTACAATTCTAATTTTAGAACATGTGTGTAGTTAGTATTGGGAACACAATTTATCGTTACATTGGCTCGAATTGCACGTTGTGATTACGTGTAATCAGCATGGGGAACACAATTCTAGTTTCAAAACATATAGTATCAAGCAGTGAGAAAAAAAAAAGTGATCTATTCTATTGAACCGGACCAAGAATTGATCACCTCTAGAGTTGGATTCGGCTTAACAAGTCCATAAAATTTTTGGGGAACACAATTCTAATTTATTATAAAAGTCATGAACTAATGGTCTTTGAAAAAGAATAGCACATCAGAATTTATCACTCAATATGGACTTACTTAATGGAAATGCATAACTATGTTATTTGAAAGTCTTAAGACTTAATTAGCCGTTGGATTTAACTTTTACGGAATTCCATAAATTTTTCATTTATGTGAATTGTATAGGTTGAGGTTGATTTATTAAGGGTAGAGATAAGAAATGACTTGCGACCGGTCGGGGGGAAAATGGCGGCAATTTTGCAAGAAAATGAAAAAGTAATTTGCCGCAATTAGAAAAGAAAAAAAAAAAAGAAGAAGAGGAGAAATCCAGAAACCCCCCCCCCCCCAAAAAAAAATAAGTGATGAATTGAGGAAGAAGCGAACTGGGCCAATTGCCGGTGAGGATCAGGCGACCTGTCTCCGTCTCTCTCGACGAAGTTCACGAAACCCAAATCGAAATCAGCAACAAGAACACCTCCGATTACCTGCCGTTTCAATCCTGCTTCGAGAACCAGAGAAACGTTCCGGCATCGGGATCCAGCACGAAGGATTCTCGTCGCGTTCGTCGCCCTTCTCCGATTCATTCCGGCGATAAAAGTTCGATTCATGGATGTGCCGAGCTCATGGGACGCCCTTCGCAAGCAGGTTCTAGTTTCTCTTCCTCGTTGTCCTCGTCGGGATCGATTTGCCTAGCTGATGTTTGAATGGGTGAATTTGTTTGTTGACTTGCTGGAGATCCTCTCGGTCAGGCCTCGGGTTTTTGCTTGATTTGGGATTTCGTTTGACTCGGATTTCGTTTTATTGTCTCCGACGTCTGATCTACGAGAAGTCTAGGATGTACGGTGGAGTCAGTTGTTATGGATATTAGTTGATTAAGGTTGATTGTCCGATCTGGTGAGGATTCCACTGAACGGTTCTGGAAAGTTAGGATCTTTGTTCCTTGAGTATTCGACACTCCGGATCATCTACATGCGAAGTCGGTAAAGCTGGATTTCGATCACTTTCGTCTCGATATCCTCGATTGTGTTTCACGAGAGACGTCGGGAGTGCAAAGTTGTTTGCTCGGTATTCCTGTTCTAAAGCCAAGGACTATGGAAATGTTGGATGTGTGTGCGAGGCGCCACAGAGATTGTAGGAGTGTTCGGATTCCTAATACAAATGTTTTGCAGCTGTTTGTGAATTGTAATGACAATTATACCACAAGGGCTAACGAGGGGAGGATGACCTTTTGTTGCCCAAGTGGAAATGATCTTAATGTTCCCCACTTAGCGAAGCTACTATTTTCCTCGAGCATCCTGACCCATTTATAATTTCCTTAGAATAAGTATAATTGTCAGAGTGACTCGATGACAGTTCCTGGATCTTATTTTCCCGTCTCATCATGATTCCTATGACTGTCCCTGCTGCATGTATCTTTCGCTTCTAATGTCTCTTGACCTTTTGAGTGTAGGCGAGAAAGATCGAAGCTCAGTTGGATGAGCAGATGAATTCGTATAGGAGGATTGTTTCTGCAAAGGCTTCTTCTAAAGCTGATGCGACGGAGACGGATGTTGAAACTGGGATAGATCGACAACTGAAACAGCTTGAACAAGTAAATATACAAATGCAAGCTTGGGTATCATCTGGAGGATCTGAGATGGTTTCTCATACATTGACACGGCATCAAGAAATTCTACAAGATCTTACGCAGGTATTTTTGGCAGTTTGATATTGCTTGGTAGGGACGTTGTTTCGAGATTTAATTTGGTCTAAGCGCCGAATGATACTTCAATGTTGGTTAATATACAGTCAACTTGAGATCTTTGAGTCTTAGCTGTGTTTTTGGTCGCACATCAGAATATCAGACTGGAGAAGATAGAATAGGACCGTGCCAGAATTTTTCTTGATTGCTCGTATATTATAAGCTCATCCCAGTAGACTAATCAAATCAGGGACTCGAAGTTATCATTTCCTTCAATATTGTACAGATTGGTGTGCATCATAGGATAAGTCGGGAGCAAATTTAAGAACCTAATTGAAAAATGCATGCGTTTTGAAAAATGGTTGAATCTTCTGTAGGAAATTATTGATTATTGGCAAATCTTTAATCAGTGCAAACCATCGAAATAGGCAGACGGACTGCCCACTTCTTTCTTGATTCAAATCTGCTTCATGAAGGGGACTAGACATAATCATAAATCACACTAACTTCAATTGGCTACATACTGGATGGCAGATAAAATCATTATCCACCCGTTGTGCCACAAATTCTGGAGCTACGTCAGCGTTCGCCACTCTTTTCCATTTGATAAAAAGTAACAACATAGCCTTCGGCTATTAGGTTAATTTCACTTTGCATAATGTCAATATGATCAAAATATTCTTCATGTTTCTGCCTTCTTAGGTCTTTCCTTTTCCTTTTCCCTTGCACCCTCACCAAACTTGCCAATTTTAAAGACCCTGCAGATTACCATGAGTTGCTGATGTTTTACCATGTCCTTCTTAATGAGAATGTTTCTTCGGGCGCATCTTGACTGCAGCAGTGGTCACAACTCCATTCTTGTTCTACATAATTTATTTCCATATGCCTACCTGCAAACTTCAATACTTCCCTCCTGACTTTCAGATTATCCTTCATGCGAGCATTGCCAGTGTAATAAAAAATTTGTACTGCATTTTGCTCTTTACTTTTGCTGTTATTCTTGGCTGTAGGGGATAATTTTCTTGCTAGGTACCTAGTACCTGTAACTGAAATATTATTGTTTTTGTCAGATGGCTGTGCAATATGTCATTCTGAACAGAGTTTAGTATTCTAGTGGGATATTTTTAGTTGGGCAATTTAACGGACTTATCCTTCCTATTTCTATTGGCACTCTAGTGTATTTGGATATTAAGTAGAGATAGAAAAGGTCACTTGTACTTAGAGATGAGATGCTCAAGTTCATGAAGATTACAAGACATGACCATCTTTTCTTAGAAGGGCATGACTTTGTCATTCTCAAGTCTCTCAGTTTAATTAAAATACCTCCTTTCTTGATCCTGTATCTTCCACTTTAACTGATCAAAAAATAAAATTAGCCTCTTTTACTTTCCCTCTTATATGCATTCTCTCTCTCTCTCTCTCTCTCTCTCTCTCTCTCTCTCTCTCTCTCTCTCAATATTGGTTGCTCTATGTAAGAAGAACCAGGGTAATTTGTTTTACATTGGAATCTCCTATTTGTTGGGGATGTGGAATGTTATTAATCAAATTTTCCAGTATGGATGAGGGATTTTATCTTGCCATGACTAACTTTCTTTTGGGGTAAATTATCACGACTCATTTGGGTTTTGAGGAAACTTCTCCCATGAACTTCCAGTTCTATTCCTCACTGAATTGGCCGAATTACCTTAATTTACATCAATGCAGGAGTTCTATCGACTTCGATCCAGCCTAAGAGCTAAACAAGAGCATGCTTCACTCCTTGAGGATTTTAGGGAGTTTGATAGGACAAGGCTGGACTTGGAAGATGGCCATGGTTCTCCAGAGCAAGCCCTCCTTAAGGAGCGTGCATCCATTGGCAGAAGTACAGGACAGGTATGCAATATTGGCTTCTAAAATTATGGTGCAACAATTTGCTTATTGCTGATGAAAATGAAGATAAACTATGATGCACAGTGTGCCGGTAGCGAGGTTATTGTTTGTTTTGGTTGATGAGGTGTCACATGTAGTTTTTTTCATCTTATAGGGTGTTGACATTATGGTATGACCTTACGACAAGAACAGCTTGGCATGGCTTTTATATACATCCCGTATGTGTTATCAGCAACTCTTAATTTCGTGGTCATTTCACTGTTTGCTATTTTGTTTTTAGTCATAACCTGTGGTTGTTATGGAGATCTCTTGAAACATTCTACTGGAATTTTCACCATTAGGTATCAGCTTCAATCATGACTCTATATTTTTTGCTTTTGCTATGTTGGGTAGAATCTGATTATGTGCTGTCCCAGTTTCTTTAGTATCAATTTTTAGTTTCATCTGCTCTTTCACCACCTGGGCTTCCTTAATGTCAAATAACGTGATGGTTGTCCACGTGTTCTTTTGTGATTATTGCTTTTTTTTACTGTATCAGTGGATGCATGAAGCTATACGTTTGTAAGCCACTGGCTGGACAACCTTAGGTGATCAGTTCGGTGTAGTGTGGGAATGCCAATTTGTACCCAACTGTAAGAATATAGGTTTTAACTTAGGTACTTTGTATGGATGAATTGTTGGCAAAACGAAAAGCCTTGGTAATTTGTTGGACCAGCTTATTGAACATGTTCCTTTGCTCCAGATGGACAATGTCATATCCCAAGCACAAGCAACAATTGGTGCCCTTGTTTTGCAACGTTCCACTTTCGGGGGCATCAATTCAAAACTTAGCAATGTCGGCAGCCGCCTCCCATCGGTAAGTGATCATTTCAATTATAAAATTTTATGGAACACATCCAAATGTGCTAAAAGTCTAAATTGTAAGATAAATGCGTGATTTACAATTAAACACTCTAATACTTTCTCTTACACATAAGCTGGACTTTGATCAAAGATTAAAGGATGAAAACATTTAATGAGGAGGCAGATAAGAGATCTGGAATGATCTGAGCTCAGGACCATCCTGTTTTGATACTGTGAGATTTTATGGGATCACAACCGACTGTTCTAAAGGTTTAAGCTGCTAGATGAAGGCATAGTTTAATATTTAAATATGCTAACATCAATATATGTATCAGGAAAAACACCCTTGGGGACTTGAAAGAATGGTTGCATATGAAGCCACAAAACGTTATAGTGATGTCATAATGTAAAAAGTTATAGTGCCTTTGAATAAGTTTTTTCTTAGTTTAACCAAAAGAAGACCTGAAGGATATCGATATTAAGAGGGTAAACATGATGGGAAGCAAAATCTATGTAAGTAATAGATCAAGTATGAAGGACGGATGGTTCTATATTTTCTTAGCTCATATGTAATATTTCTACATGTGTTGTATGAACCGATGTACTTGTCTCTGGTATGTTGCTGCAGGTTAATCAAATTCTCTCGGCAATAAAGAGGAAAAAGTCTATGGATACCATTATACTCTCTCTTGTTGCTTCTATTTGCACATTTCTCATTTTTATATATTGGCTGAGGAAGTAACGATGTCATTTTTAGCGTTACTAGTGGTTGTCAGTATGGGTCAATTTCTCGATGTTTTGTAATTAGTTGTTCTTTAGAATGCCTCAACTGTCTTTTTATACCTTTTCTTTATCCTCCAAATGGATTCTGTATCTGCATTTTACTGTTTATAGAGACAATACCCGATGCACTTCAAGGCTTTTGGGTCCACCATTATCTTTGTAGAGCTTTCGAACTCATTCCCCATTACCCATTGCTTGAAGAGAATAATGTGATAATGCCATAATGGTGTTGAGGCAATCCCAACTTTGACCAACAACTGGGAAAACCTACAGCACATTCTGTTTAGTCATTTACTTGCCTTTGCCTGGGGAATCTGTTTTCGTTGCAAGGCTACAGGACATATTAAATTCAATGTTTGTTATGAGGGATATTCATGATGATACGCTTTATGAGCAGTGCGGCATATCGTTTGTATATCTTCACTCTATCGAGTTGGAACTATGCTTTTGTCAAATGTTTTGAGTTTGACCTGGATTTTGATTTGGTATTTTGAGGATGAATTGGCGGTAGGGATGGTGTTGTCACTGCCGTAATTTTTTTCCAGCTATGAGGATTTTGTTGACATTTATAACTTTTTAATTGTTCTCACTTGGTAAATCAATAAAAAATGCGCATTCAAACTTACTCTCATTGATGTCACACTCGAGCTTGTTTAGATTATTTCACTTGTATGACAAAAAAAAAAAGATTATTTCACTTGCATACCTGTGATGTCCGTGTGGAAAGAAAAACTTCCGTTTAATATCTTACCACTAAAATGAGTGAAGTAGAATTGTTCTCCAAGTCGGCCGTCAAGTGAGGCTGAAACCTGAAAGCGAATAAGCTAAGAAGATACCATTACAAGTACATCTGTATTTCAACCGAGCCAGAAAGTGACCGACTCTTAGGACCACCTCTCCAAGACATAAAGCTGGCCAAGGTCCACTCAACTTGCAAGGAAGAGGCAAGGAAGGGGGATGCGGCGACACCGTGATGCGCGCGCGCACCCTTTAGAGAAAAGAGTTCCATGTACATTAGGTTGGTGCCTGATGTTCAAATCTGAAAGGGACAATCCTTATTGCTTGGGGACATGTACTTCCACTGATTCCCTCCTATTCAATACGTTGCAAAAATGATATGTTCAATATGATTGGCTAGGGAGTTCAATAATTAGAGGACTTTGTCAAAGGCCGGCCTAATTCGAACGTCTCAATCTTGAGACGTTCTGTTACACTTCTGCTGTACATCTGTTCTAAATAATCCGGGGAAATAAATCAAGAGAGAGAGAATGACATTCTCTGAGGGTCATCATAGAACTGCAATTTCAATAGTATAAACAATAGTTGTGGGTTTCTAGTTGTGGAAATTATGACATCTCAGTCTCTGTACCTTTGCAGAACCTTTAAAAGCCCGAGGGTAGGTGTTAAAGAGATGGGGTTCCATTTCTTTCAGGTGCTAAGGAGAAGAGAAGTTGTCACTGCTTCGGTTCGATAAGGTTGAAGTTCCTGTAACTTTAAAACTATATGACAAACTTTAAATATACAAAATGAACCGACAGAGAAATCTAGAGAGATACCTCGTTCCAATTTGATTAGACAAGGCAGGCTTAACATCGCCTAACAAATCATGTTTAACATATGTACAGGAGAAGATCAAACGGTTCAAAAGCAAGTGCTTTTACAACCAGTTAAGACTGTTATGCATGCTCATCATTCACTCTTCCTGATTGATCAAACAATTTGTCTCAGCTCTTGTTTTATCTGGGGCTTAATTTCAGGAAAATGAGCATGATTGATGAGGATTAACATGCGTAGGACGGCAATCCGGGAGCATGTTAAGGGCCATTTCCATCAACTCCTCCATCCACCTGTCTGCCACTTGTTTGTGAACTAAACTTTTGCCACTGCGAGACGACAAACGAATCTTCTGTTTCCATGTGGATTGAATTGGACTTTTCATTTGTGCACATGAAGTTTTTGATTGGAGACCACACCCCCCCCCCCCAAGTTGACTGGTAGTGTGGGCAATAGAGACAAAAGTTTTGAAGAGAGGGATTTGTACTTCCAGTCTTCCTTTCAATCAGGATTCAAGGCCTGAAGGCCAATGGAAAACTAGTTTACTTCGAGAAGAATGCCCCAAGTTGAAGTGACGATGATAGGGTCTTAGGAGTCATAATTAGGTGTTTGTCAAAATCAGGTCATGTTGGTCTGAAAAAATCACATAAAGTAGGCACAGCTTTACACTTATTCACTCTTGACAGATACCTATCTCTCTACCCTTGCTTCTAGGTCATAACTTGCGAAATTACTGGACAGCGTATAATACTAAGGGAGGCACCCAGTAATTGCAAGACAAACTGCAACTACGAGCACACGGCCCTATACAATTTTGATAATGGCTCCATGGCATTCAATGGAGATGATGCTAAACTTTTAAGGTAATCTTAGGTGTCTTTGTTCCTATTTACTAGATGCAAACTACCCGTGGTGAGAGGGGAAGAAATCATATTCAAACCGCCATGTAATTAGAAGTCGAGTTAGATGTATGAGAGTCAAATAGAGTAACCTTAGTCTAAGCATGCTATGGCAACTGTCTCATTGGACTTTGGACTCTGGTTATTGCATCCTAGTCACTCTGCTGTTTCTAATGTTCTCTGAGTAATAAGATCTACATGGACATGATCTATCTGTAGATAATTGATATTTGTATCATTAAATCATCGGTAAAGACGCTCGCTGCAATTTGATGGATGAAATTGATATGGTTCATCTGAAGAACCCTTGGAACACTAGCCAGTTACCATGGAGAAGCACTTTGATGCCCAACGTCTTCTAGGTAAATTCTGACATTTCCACTCCATCTACCTGTATTTGTCTTCTTGCAAAGCTGTGGCCTACAGACTTCAAATCCAACACAGACACAAGTGACAGCTTTCTGTCACTATCTCATTACGCATGCAGAGAGGACACATACCGAAAAAGAGTTACCTGTACAACCCGTGTTTCCAACTCTCAATTTGCTATCCAATGTCTATGAATTGATTCCCAAGGAGACCACTAAGATGGAAAAAGAAAGGCAGAGGTTTGTATTTAACTTTCAATTCTGCTAGCTCACAGAGGATTAGCTATTGACTAAAGCAGATTCCTAGGCATAGAAAACGATACATATATGTAGCCTCTAACTTTCTCAGCGTGGCAGCTTACCTAACAATGTGCACTGATCATTACAAATATATGTCACTTCTATGTGCGAAACATGTCGACGAACTTTCCGTGGCAATTTCTGGTGCCACAGTTTGGAGAGAGGAAGATGTTGAGAAATTTCCATAGTTTTTCCTGCTTTAGTTGAACTTGAAATAGAAGTTTCCCATGAACTGATGAAATGGCAATTTAACAAAAGATTAAGGTTAAAGGAAGTTAGTTTAGCTAAGGCTGGTTAGTACGAGAACCCCTTCGGGTGATTTCTCGGATGGCATCTCCCAAGCAGCTGATGCGAGCTTTTATTTTCAATATGCTTTAACCTTTTCAAAAATCATCCGGTGCAATAACAAGGAGATCATTGTTATGCTCTCGGGGTCTATAATCTGCAATTGTAAAGCAACAATCATCAAAAAACCTAATCAGAAGCTTGACCAGCAGAACTTTTAGAATTAATAAGTTGACCCAAGAGATTGGCTATCTGCACAGACTGTGCTGACTGCTGAGACTTCAAAATGATGACACTATCTTGGTCCACAACTCATAAATGGTGATTATTTTATGAACAACAGCACCTATTTTAAACTATATTTGCGTAGGCACCCACTAACTTCTAGTGTGCACTGAAATACTATAGTGCAAAGTATGGACAAGTGATTGCTCCTACAATGAATGAACTCTTACGCAAGATAAGGACACGACCTTTTCTGTGAAGATATTGCATATCCTTCATTCGGGTGCCAAACTTTACAAAGCCACATCTTTTTTAAGATGAGTCTATTCCAAGACTCGCATAACTCCAAAAGCCAAAAAGGCGGATTTATTCGGTCTTGGTTTTAATGTTTGATGACGCAGCCACGGACATTCACAAAGGAGGACCGCAAAACACAAACACATGAATGGCAAGAAGACAGAGAGTTTGAGGCAGAGAGAAGAATAAATGTACACGTTTTTAGTGCATACAAGGATATGTGCCCGATATCGCTCATGAGTTTCAATCAAGAGTTTGTAACATCTCTCTCTCTCTCTCTCTCTCTCTCTCTCTCTTCCAAAAATGTCCTAGTCCTCGTATCCTAGTTTTTCTATATTAAGACCTTGTAACTGCAAAACAGGAGCAGTTCCTTCCATACATAGCTCAGAGCTTTTATCACTGGCCCATCAAAAAGCTTTTGAATTTGAATATATTTCTCTGCTACAAAAAGGTTATCTCCATGCCACATAACTAGTAAATTGCTTTTGCTAATTTCCTCCACACGTACCCTCCAAAGTGAGAGCAGGTCATTCAGAAAACCCAACATCAGCCTATATCATCTGAAGTTCAATGGAGGGGATGCAACAACTAGAGAAAGATTATCAGAGAGACAGAGAAAGCAAGAATTCCGCTCTTATCCTGGATCTAAGCCTCTCTAGGGAAGATTCCAGTCGCGGGTCGAATCCGGAACTGGATCTCATCCGAGGTTTCGACTCTGATTCACCTCGCAACTCTGAAGACACCCTTCAAGGTAGTGAAAACGAGCCAAGAGTGTTTTCATGCAACTATTGTCAGAGGAAATTTTACAGCTCTCAAGCACTCGGAGGACACCAGAATGCGCACAAGCGAGAGCGGACGCTAGCAAAGCGTCACCGAATCGGTGGCTTTGGTTATTCCAGCATGGCCTCCCTGCCTCTGCATGGCTCTTATAACAGATCTCTTGGCATTCAAGTGCATTCTATGATCCACAAGCCGTCTCACACTTACGGGCAAGACGGGTGGACTCGGCAATCACTGAATCAGCAGCCTGCAGTTGGAAAACTTGTGGTACAGGATTCTTTTCATGTGGGAATAACCACCACAGGATCATCATCAAATTCCGGGATCGGCAGATTCGATGGAGTCAGGAAGATTCCTTCTGCTGCTGAAGGGATGGGAGGATTCTGGTGGGGCAGTGTGAACCATTTGGATACCAAACAAGATGAAGTGCAGACCATTGACTTGTCCCTGAAACTCTGAGCTGCTTTTTCTCTTCCTTTTTTCCCCTTTTTTTGCCCTCTCCAAGCAAAAGTACTGGCATTATCTTACTTCTTCAGGCAAAGTTGGTTTATTTTGTTTTAGTTTTATCATTCTGTACATTCTTTTCTGAGTATAGACATAAATCACTGTGGGATAGACTAATTTCTAGTACGCTTCTACTGTCTCCTATAGGCTGGAAATCTGAGTTTCTCGATTCAGAATTAAGTTTTCTTAACAGTAGCCGATCAAGTGATAAGCACAAGACGAACAACTCAATTTTTAACAGCTACAGTACCGCTCACAATATTAAGAGATTTTCATGGATGATCGCTAGCTGTAAAAACTGGTTTAGACAACCAGTGCAAAGGGCATTTGTAAACATTGCATTCACCTGTTAAGACTTGAATTTTGCGGCTATTAAATTAGTGGAGGACACTAGTTGGAGTTTAAAAGGAGAGTGAGGGACAAAGAATAGAACGAGTCTTCCAGAACATTACATGCAACAAAAGTTTTTTAATTAAGAACAGAAAGCTTTTTTTCACATACATTGTTAGTTTCGGTCGGACCTGTTGGTCCACACTGGCAGGGGTGTAATCTGAAAGCATGTTCTTGTCATCTCTTGTTGTCATAAAACACTAAATCCGCAATGCTTTTCAAGAAAGAACATATTAGAGTTGGATGGTTGTGATTTGTCTGAATAGCATTACAGATACCCACTTACAGTTGATTATAGACCATTTTGGTTTGGTATGGCCATGTGAGATGAATGGCCCACAAAAGCTCTGATATCACATCATTTTCCATATACAAACTTTGGGTAAAATCTGCATATTCATTTGATTTCTCACCTAATAAGATTTCTTGACTGTGGCCATCAAAGCAGGAGGCCCACATCAAACCCTGTTGGGCACTAGTTATATCTTTTCATTAGTCATAATGCACCTCGGATTTTCCACAATCAAGAGTTAATGTGACAGGAACAGTCCCATCGTTATGACAGTTAATTGCCCCAATAATCCGACAATAGTGAGGACCATGATTGAGTTAGATGCAAGTCATAATGGAAAGTTACAAGTCGCGAATGCTCACCAAAGTTGGCATTTCAGGTGGAAAGTCCCTTTTTTCGTGTCAAAAATAGGAAGCGAATTATTTTGTAGTTAAAGCAAGAAACACCAAAAAAGTACTGCAAGTAGGAAGATGTCTGTGTTCAAAACGGAGTCATCATTGGCTGAGATTAGGTGGAAAGCTTTAGTGCAGAAAATGGTCCTCACTTTTGTAATATCATCCTAATACGTGTAATGGATTGTTAGTTTCTACAAGTTGGGCATTACTTCTTAAATTACTTGAGGGAGACTAATAATTACACATCGACTTTTTATATCCATGAATCAGATTGCTCGACCATGCCACTATAAATTATGTTTTAACACAAATGTATCAAACTGAAGGATCTTAAATTATTGGAGACCGGATTGCACACACGGTTTTCCCTCCCACATCTCCTTGTTTCTACTTTCAATTATCAACATTTCAGAGTGCGTGAAGAATCAAACTCATAAATGGATCAAACTGATCATTTAGTAGGACTGGAAGCACATATTCATCCATGCTTACTTCAATTGATAGTAAATTCCATTTAAAGAAACATATGGCAAGTTTTAATAGCAGCCTTTTTTGTGTGAGAGGAGGTGGCGTGTTTACTGCAACCATGAAGCACCAGGAAGCAACTAAAGTTTGCAAGGGTAACAAGTGATTAGACTTATATCACATTCAAAATGAGTAAGATTCTTCAGAACCTTGTAGATATGCATATTGCACAATGCAGCATTAGGGAACTAGTTACTCGATATCAAGCACAAATAGAATTACAAGGAATCGGGATCCATTCACAGAGGAGGCCACTTGACTTGTTCCTTTATTCACATTAACCTCTGCTCACCATCATTCTTCCATAAATCACCAGCCTTTCTTCATATACCATATATCATGACCAAAAAATATGAGTTTACCTTCAATGACTTCCTGATTTACACAGAAAACAAGACAACCCAGATCACAAAATAATAGCATTCCGCCAATTCAACCTAAAGGCTATTCAAATATTCTCATTAAATAAGTAAGAAGGACAGATGATGGACGAAAATTCCGAAATTTAGCCCATGGCACACGATCAACTCTTGATACTGTAAGTATAGGCTGCCAGACTAAACAACCGCTCAGATCAATAAGAAAACTATCTCTGTAGGCATGTCAGTTCCCCTGTCTGTACCTTTGTTAAGCAACTTTTGGACATGGATTTCTGTTAAGCCGGAGCATAATTTGCGCATCTGTTTCCAGAAAAAAGAAATCGGTCTTGGCAAAAACTTCATTCAAACTTAGCGTCACGGAAGTCTCATCCATTTTGGGTCTTAATTGGTCTGATCCTTTTAAGAAGAAACAGGAACTGAAGCTGAACCACCTCCCTCTTCTTTACCATCATTGATTTTAACCACAGGTTTTCCAGGTTCTGGTTCTGCGGTGCTGGGCTTGGCCGATGATTGAATTTCTTTCTTCATTGCATGCTCCTGCTTTGCAGGAGAGCTGCCACCTGATTGTTTCTTTGCTTCAACAACTATATCTTTCACAGCCTCTTCCAGCTTGTCGAGTCTCACTTTTACCTCAGAAAGCTCCTTTTCTGAATCCACTTTTGTTTCTTCTGGAGTGTCAATTTCCATCTCTTTCGATTTCTTTTCTTCTTCCAGCTTCTTCTGCTCCAGTTCCTGAGATAGTGACAAAAACAACAAAATGATATACCATAGGTATAGCAAAGATTAGGTTGCTGGAGATTCAAACTGAGCATATGAAAGAACAGATTCAACCCTTTAATTAGCCATCATCACACATGCAACACTCCGACGAGACACAAACCATCCTCCTTTTTTCTTTCACAAGTCAAACAGAAAGAAGCAGACTGAAAGTCTCCATGCACGTAATAAATTATTGACTGGCAAGAACTGCGGTGTGGCTTACAGCTTCCATTCTTCTTATTTCATATCGAGCATACTGGGCCACCAAGTAAACAGCTGTCACACAAACCATTTGCTTTAAGACAGGAGCACCAAACCAACAGGCAACATTGTAAATCTGAAATTCGATAGTTGGTAGACTTCGAAATACCCAGTGAAGGCATGCAGGCAAAGAAAAGCTGTACCAGATGGAAATCAATCCTGACCATGCAAAAAAGAAAGTTCGACATTAAGTGAGAAAAAAATAATAAAACTGGAAGAATTTGAAGTATTTCAAATTGCAGACCGAGTACATTTAAGCATTATGAAGATTCCTATAATATGCATTCCCAGTTTCATCTCACATACGATTCAAATTACACGTTGGCTTCAATAATTATGACAAGAACACAACCCGGGTTTAATATATCAAGAAAGAGCATCATAGTGTCTGGTGGAGCAATATAAGCGAGAAATGCATATTCCATAATCACGAAAAGGAACATCTAGACCTAACCTACCCGAACTTCTTTTTCTTCGGGGGACCAGTGAACAAGATCTTGGCAGCAGTCATGAAATCCAGCTTGTCCAGCTGCCTGTAGGCCTCGTTGTAAGTGCTGATGCTCGATTCAGAATTTCCGCCATTGCTAGAATTGGCGATGGAGGTGCTGGATTTACCGCCATTTTTGCTGCCGGAGCCGGAACACGATCTCACCCCTCCAAATCCGCATCTCCTGGCGAGATGAACCCAAGCTTTTTGGGCACAAAACATCACCACTAGCTATCCCCTCTCGCTTTGAACTACATTCTGCAAGAATCCAAAGGTACTCTAATTTCACTTTCTTCAAATTAAGGCACACCCAAGACATACCATTTGGTAAGGATTGAATGAAATAGCCCAGCAAAGCAAAAGAGGCGGCGAATTTTGCTTTCAGTACACTGCACCGGGGGCCATTTCGCAACTATGTCTACTGCAACTTCAAAGGCTATAAAATCCGCTAATGCTCCCAATCAACAACAAAGACCATCAAAACACATCCACGCCAAATCAGTCCCCGGTCCATCTCAAAAGTGGGAAACGCTCGGAGGTTTACCAAACATGAACAACAACCATTGTTCCGCAGGTTTACCAAACATGAACAACTACCATTTCACTTCCGAGTCACCAAAAAACCACGCGCAAACAATGACCGAGGTTGAAACCTACCAGGTCGCCGCGGAGCAAGGTCGACGGCGAGGTCGACGGCGATCGAGGGAAGCGAGTTCGAGGTGTCGCGCTGGGTGGTGGTGGCGGTGGTCGGTGGCGGAGTCGTCCGCTTGAGCGGCCGTGGGGGGGTTAAGCCTTTAAGGTATGCTGGAAGTTGGGCTTGTGATGGGCCGGATTCACAAATGAAAGCCTTTCCTACTTGCTAGGATTGTTTGAATAGAGGAAATCAGTTTGATCTCGATTTGATTTCAGGATTTAATTTCTTTTTTTTCAGGATCTAACTTACATGTGTAAAAATGTTTTTTTTTATTAGGAATGGCCATCGGACCGTGTCTGCCTGGGCCCTATGCAGGCTCGTGCCCGGCATGACCCCTCCGTTCCCGGGTCAATGCTCGAGTAGGCTTGGCCTAATCTAGGCTCGAAACATTTTCTCTGGTCAAGTCGGCTTATGTATAGATAGCTGGAAAAGTTCAGTTCGAGCATATTTAGGTTGCGAATGGTAACCATTCTGTTTCTCTATTTCTGTTCCAGAAATAGGTTTGGAACAGAAATCTGTTTGGTAACGAAATTCCAATTTCTATTTCTGGAATAAATTTTTGTTCCAGAAATAGGTTTGGAACAAAAATCAGAAGTTAAAATTTTTAGCTTCTCTATTTCTGGAACAGAAATGAGAAACAAATTTTTTTTATTCTTCTCATCACTTTCCCTCACTACTAGCCGGTCGCTCACCCACTGCCCATCGCCGGCCGCCGCCACCCGCCGATCGCCGCTACCCGTCGTTGGCCGCTGCCGCCGGCCACCGTCTCCTGCCGCCGCCTACCCTCCTCCCCCTACCGGCGGCCATACCACCAACCAGCATCTCCGGCCGCCACCCGCCTTCCACCCCCGGCCTCTCTCCTCTCGCCATCGCCGCCCACCTCCCATCGCCAGCCGCCTTCCACCGGCCACCATCTCCCACCACCGGTCGCCCTCCTCCCACCTAGAGGTGGCCACGGGCCGATTTTGGCCCGGAACCGGACCGGAACCGGCCCGGTCAAACCCGGGCCCGACCCGTTGACCGGGCCCGCGGTTCGAAACCGGAACCGGCCCGTGGCATACGGTCCCGGTTCCGGTTCCAGAAAAATTTGAACCGCCCCGAACCGTTGCGAAAAAAAAAAAAAAAAAAAAAAAAAGCCGCAGGCTACAAAGACACGGCCTGCGGGGGCTGCAGCCATGCCGCAACAACTGCAGTGCGGGAGAACTGGGACGGCCAACGGCCCAACCAAAAAAAAAAAAAAAATTTTATTTATCCGCAGCAGGGCCTGCAGACGTGCAGGCCCTGCTGCGGCCCGTTGGGGCAACGGCTACGCCCCAACGGGCGTTTTTATAATAAAATAAAATAAAAAACACATAACCGTTGCAATTTTCTTTTTTTTAATTCTAAATTTTCTTTTATTTTTTTTCTATAAATTCTCTCAAATTCTCACAATACACACACAATTCTCTCAAATTCTCTCCAATTCTCTTCTCTCAAGTCTCAAATTTTCTCAATACTCGAAATTCTCTCAAATTCTCTGAAATTCTCTCAATTTTCTCAATCCACGCAATTCTTTCTTAATTCTCCCAATTAATCCGCTCAATTCTCTCAATCCATTCGAAAAATGGCAAGTGGAAGTCGAGTGCCAACTGGCAAAGGTAAGAATATCGCGACGGAATCCCATCATTCTTTTGATCCTCGTGAATATGCAGATTTTCAAGATGATGAAATCAACATTTTTCACGATGTGGAGCGCGTCCCGACGCAAGAAAGTTTTCATCCTCCTGCTGAAATATCTACAACAAAGGAAGCGGAACGGGAATTTACATCCGACATTTGGAATCACTTCACGAAAATGGAAAGGTTTGATATCAGTCAAAAAAGGTATGATATAATTTGTAAATATTGTGGAAAAATATATAAATATACAGGTGGACAAGGATATGGAACATTTAAACGACATCTTATGAGCAAACATCCAACCGAAACGGGAATCGATATCGGGCAACAACAAATTTCCGGGTACGTCAATCCTAACACTTCCCCTTTATTTCGTTTTAATGAAAAAACTTATAAGGAAGAATTAGGCAAATTTATTTCCATTGAGCATTTAGCATTTAATTTTGGAGAAAGATTTGGTTTTAATGAATTTGTACAAAAAGCATGTGCTCCACAAGCAAAACGTGTTTCTAGAAATACAACTAAACGAGTAATTAAAGATCTTTACAAAAATGGAAAAAATGATTTACAAAATTTTTTTATGCAATTTAATGGATGCGTGCATATAGGTAGTGATATTTGGAGTGATCATTGGCAAAATCATTCTTACATGGGCATAGCATGTCATTGGATAGATGACGAGTGGACTATTCAAAAAAGAGTTATTGCATTTAGAGTTTTCGATGATCATCATACGGCAAATAATATTTATAGACTAATTAGGCAAGTTTTAGAAGAATATTATTTGCTTAACAAAAATTTTTCAATTGGTTTTGATAATACCGCAGCAAATACCGCTTCAATTGCCGAGTTAGAAAATATTTGTAAACCCGCTTTTGGCGGAAATTTTTTTCACATTAGATGTGCTTGTCATGTTTTAAATTTATGTGTACAAGATGGTTTGAAAACTCTTGATATTTTTCTTCAACCAATAAAAACGGCGATTCAACTTTTATGGAAACATCCCAAAAAAATGAAAGAATGGGGTAGATTTTGTAGAGATAATGGCAAAAAGCCAAAAAGATTTCCAAGAGATGTTCCAACTCGTTGGAATTCTACTTTCCACTTGCTTAGTGAATCTTTAGCATATAAAGATTTATTATGTGCATTCATTTCTAATAATATACCTGAGATTAATTTATACCCACAGGAGTGGCATATTTGCCAAAAAATTTTAGATCTTTTAAAGGTTTTTAATGATGCAACTTATACTTTGTCTGGTGTTTATTATCCTACTACACATTTATTTTTAGTAGAGTGTACTAATATTGTCGGAACTTTTGATGAATATGAAAATGATGTTGAATTACAACATACTATAGTTGCAATGAAAATGAAATGGCTTCATTATTATAGTGAAATTCCCATGATTTATTTAGTTGCTTGTGTTTTTTATCCGCGTTGCAAATTGGATGGCTTAAATGATTTTTTGCGTGCGTATTATCAATGTTTACATTATGATGTGACAAATGTTACAACCATAGTACGTGAGGTTAAAAACGTAGTAATAGAATTATATAATGAATTTTATACTAAATATAATTTAGGTGATATTAGATCTTCTCAATCTACGGAGATACAAAATGACAGTACAGGTAAAATTAGTAGAGGGTACCAACTTTTATTACATAGACAAAAAAAACAAAAGGGAGTAATAGGAAATATTTCTGAATTAGAGAGTTATCTAACCATTTTATTTGAGTTTACTGAGCCGAAGGTGGTACAGATTTTTTTTATTTTGGATTGGTGGAAGAGGCACGCAAGCCAATACCCAATCCTTTATCTTATTGCAAAACAGATTTTTTCAACCCCTTGTTCCATAGTTGCGGTCGAACAAGCATTCAGTGCCGGAGGTAATATTTTGAACGAACATCGTTCAAGATTATATCCAGAATCAGTGGAGATGCAAGCTTGTGTTGCTGATTGGACGAAGGCTCAATACCGGCAACAAGAGATAGATCGGAATAATGAATCCGAATTCTTTAACGACGGAGATACTACCGCTACCACTATCGGTACTGGAACGGGTAGTGACGATTGAGGGTAAAAGAACTATTGGAGTTGGCAAATATTTCGGAAACTCTTGTTTCTCATACCGGGTACGCCCACATGAGCTTAGGGAAACCGAAATATAATCCGACGATATGTGACCTCCGGTCCCTCGCGCACGGAATGCTTAGGTTTTGGGATAATTTTAGGGTATATATATTGTACTCCTTTTTTTAAGATCGTTGTAACGAATTGTAATGTGCTTAATGATAATTTATTAAGTTGAAGCCCTCTCTTTCTCTCTTGTCTTTTTGTCCCCAAATTTGAGTACAATTTACATTTTAATCACAATTTATATTAAATAATGTTCTATCACAAGAATAGTATTTTTTTTATTTTCATTTCTGTTTTTCCTTTTCTGTTTTTCTTCTTTTTCTTTTCCTTTTCCTTTTCTGTTTTTCCTTTTTCTCTTTTGTCTTTTTTCCTTGTTTCTGTTTTTTAAAATTATAATTTATATTTTAATTTTTTTTCTTCCTCTGCGGCCGCCGGCCGGCCATGGCTGGGGCCGGCGCAGAGGTCGCCGGCGTCGGGCGAGGGCGGCCCTCGCCGGGCCGGGCGAGGCCGGCCGCCCGGACGCCGACGAGGCGAGGCTCGGCCTCGCCGCAACCGGCGAGGCTCGACCTCGCCGGCGCCGGCGAGGCCGGCCTCGCCGGGCCGGGCGAGGCCGGCCTCGCCCGATGCCGGCAAGGCTCGGCCCGCTCGCAACCGGGCGAGGCTCGACCTCGCCGGCATCGGGCGACGCCGGCCCTCTGGCGAGTGGCGAAGCTCGATGTCGCCGGCGTCGGGCGAGGCCGGCGACCTCCGCGCCGGCCCCGGCTATGGCCGGCCGCGGAGGAAGAAAAAAAAAAGAAAAGAAAAAGGAAAAGAAAAAAAACAGAAAAAAATAGGAACCGGAACCGCCAGAGGCGGTTCCGGTTCCGGTTCACACTTGGCCACGAACCGGAACCGGTCGGTTCCGAACCGTGGCCACCTCTACTCCCACCGCCGTCCACCGGCCACCGTCTCCCGCCGCCGGTCGCCCTCTTTTGGCTGCCACCCACCTCCCATCGCCGGCCACCGTTGGCCGCCGCCCGCCATCCATCGGCCACCATCTCCCACCGTCGGCCAACGTCCTCCTGCCGTCGCCCGCCTCCCACCACCGGCCACCGTCTCTCGCCGCCACCCGCCCTCCTCCCGCCACCATCCACCGCTCGTCGACCACCCAAGAAGAAGAAATTTTGTGTCGTTATCAAACAAATTTCTGTTTCTGGAACAGAAATTTTGTGTCGTTATCAAACGTGTTTTTTTATTAAGAAACTCCTCCAGGAACAGAAATTAAAAAATCAATTGCGAATGGTAACCATTCTATTTCAGAAATCAATTTCTTGCCAGAAATTGATTTTTTAATTTCTGTTCCTGGAGGAGTTTTTTAATAAAAAAACGCGTTTGATAACGACACAAAATTTCTGTTCCAGAAACAGAAATTTGTTTGATAACGGCACAAAATTTCTTCTTCTCGGGTGGTCGACGAGCGGTGGATGGTGGCGGGAGGAGGGCGGGTGGCGGCGGGAGACGGTGGCCGGTGGTGGGAGGCGGGCGGCGGCGGGAGGACGGTGGCCGACGGTGGGAGATGGTGGCCGATGGATGGCGGGCGGCGGCCAACGGTGGCCGGCGATGGGAGGTGGGTGGCAGCCAAAAGAGGGCGACCGGCGGCGGGAGACGGTGGCCGGTGGACGGCGGTGGAAGGAGGGCAACCGGTGGTAGGAGATGGTGGCCGGTGGAAGGCGGCTGGCGGTGGGAGGTGGGCGGCGATGGCGAGAGGAGAGAGGCCGGGGGTGGGAGGCGGGTGGCGGCCGGAGATGCTGGTTGGTGGTACGGCCGCCGGTAGGGGGAGGAGGGTAGGCGGCGGCAGGAGACGGTGGCCGGCGGCAGCGGCCAACAACGGGTAGCGGCGATCGGCGGGTGGCGGCGGCCGGCGATAGGCAGTGGGTGAGCGACCGGCTAGTAGTGAGGGAAAGTGATGAGAAGAACAAAAAAATTTTGTTTCTCATTTCTGTTCCAGAAATAGAGAAGTTAAAAATTTTAACTTCTGATTTTTGTTCAAAACCTATTTCTGGAACAAAAATTTGTTCCAGAAATAGAAATTGGAATTTCGTTACCAAACAGATTTCTGTTGCAAACCTATTTCTGGAACAGAAATAGAGAAACAGAATGGTTACCATTCGCAGCCTTAGTGTTCATGCTCAAGCCCGACTTTTCTTAGAATAATTTTTTCGAAAATACTATTTAATGATTACGAATTTCAAGACTCAAACACGCAATTTTCAAACGATTAATTTAAAATTACATAATAAGTTATTGCATTAAAGAGATGAAAACTTTGAACCGAATGAGGTCACTTTGGATCTCAATATCCATAGCATGTCATGTTTGAACTCATTTTTCCTAGTATTTTACCCACAAAACCGGATAATTTTTTGGAACTTTGGAAGTCTAATTATTAATTTCAACATGTCTAGAATTTTATTAAGATTTTCAATGAAGAGATTATTTAATTATTTAATTGTTGCACATGATATTTAAACGTACTTCTAATTTCTAAAAATGTACGCCCCTTCATACTTTCGGAACCATTTAGACATCCTATTTTCAGTTATTCCACCCATTTAACCATATGGATGGACTTTATTTTAAAAATTATGGATACTAATTAGCATCGTCGAGATTTCGGTGGGGCACACTATATATTGATTCAGGATCTATTTCCACTCGTACATCTCTAGGTTAGATCAATCGTCAAAATCAATCGCACAAGTATAATCAAGATAACACATTGGATCATTACACATTAATCGATCGACTACCATATCGATCGATGCATTTTAAAAAAGGGCGAGTGAAAAAGTTGAGGCGAACCCTATATTTAACGTCTTGAAAAATCATTAAGTGCGTCTAACAAGAATTTCCAAATGTAAAATAAAAATTAAGCAACCAGTAAGAATAGAATTGAATCATTTATTTTTTTGTCGGTCAAGAAATAATATTGGCAGTTTATATATTACGAAAATATAAATAGTTTCCACGATGACTTTATAGAAAACTGAATTTTCAGAGCATCGTAATTCCGATCAAAGCCTCACTTTCACGCGAGATGAGCGTCGTCACAACCACGCTACGCTCAAAAAGCGCCTTATAAATAAGCTCGCCCCTCCAAGCCCGAACTTGAAATATTTTTCCCTCTTCCGAGAAAGTTTCGCCGCGAAGCCGCGACCGTGCCCGCCCTCCGCCGCCGCCGCAATGGCCGGTTTCGGAGCAGCTCCTGCCGGGAACCATAACCCTAACAAGTCTTTCGAGGTATCTGTCCTTCGTTGTCGTTACGATGTCTGTGGTTTTTTTCGCTGCATTGTCCGGAGTTAGAGATGGGCGTTAGACCAGAACGACGATGATCGATCGGTGTCGAGCTGGAGAACTAGCGTGTTATTCGTGCGTGCTTGCCGTGTTTTTTTCCGCGACTCCTTGGATGCTCGAATAAGTTCGGTTTAGCTCGGATTGCTCGCGGTGTTTTTTGGATTTCTATTAGCGAGCTGCGATTCGTAGGTGTACGTTTGGTGAATTCTGCGTTATACGTGTGGGTAATCAGGTGGGGGAAGTAATTGAGTGCCTGGTTTTGGTGATTTGATTGTTGTTTTGTGGATTTTCAATTAGTTCTGATCGGACGGTTGGTTGGAGACGTAGTTTGATGCTTTCGGCTAAGCTCTTTCGAATGTGACAATGTCAGGTGATTCAACCTCCCAGTGATTCCGTTTCGAGCCTCAGTTTCAGCCCGAGGACCAACCACTTGGTTGCTACTTCGTGGGATAATCAGGTTCGCACAGCTCAGTTTGTACTTGCTGAAACCTTACAGGCGAAAATCAATTGCCGCGTTCCAGCTTTTTGTTGACGCCCATTTGTTTTTTTCCTGTTGATGTCTCGAAAATCTTTGTAGGTACGGTGCTGGGAACTTACGAGGAACGGGGCTTCTGTAACTAGTGTGCCCAAGGCGTCGATGTCACATGACCAACCGGTGATTGTCTAACTTTGGTTTCCTATTAAAAGGATTTGTCTGAGTTTTGGTTTTCCATGAGCTAATATTTATTCATATATGCTCTCTGGGAAATATCTCCGTTCCGTTTAAAAGGTACTTTGTTCAGCTTGGAAGGATGATGGAACGACCGTATTTTCTGGAGGCTGTGATAAACAAGCAAAAATGTGGTCTTTAATGTCTGGAGGTCAGCCAGTGACAGTTGCCATGCATGATGCACCCATTAAGGAGATTGCTTGGATCCCTGAGATGAATGTCTTAGTTACGGGAAGCTGGGACAAGACCTTGAAGTACGAGTTATTTTGCTTTTCATCTGTGCGCATGGCATAGGAGTATTATATCACAATCTGTTGCACTTTAACTGTCAATTTAATTGACGTACATTAGGTGGTACAAGTATCAGCGGTGGTGCAGCAATCAAATCTTGCTCATAATTCCTATGTTTGCAATTCTAGCATAGAATTGTAGCGCATGGATGGAGCAGCACTATCTCATGACTGAGCCGATGCTGCATTATATAGTTGCTTTGATCTTTTAATTTTCTGCTGCTATAGTGGGAATATTATGTTGAGACTCGCATTGGTCATGCTCTTCTGTCTTTGTTGTATCAATTCTGGTTGTTAATGACCTTACATTATTTGCATGAAGATGTGTGCATATAATTATTCAAACAATGTACCATGAGGATAGGACTGGCAATGTTTCTTCCCTGTTGATCCATGATGTCCGCAGCCTGATGTTATTTTTTGGAGAAATTTCTTGATGCAAATTGTTTCAATACTGATGAAAAATTTCTTTATATCGTTATGACATAATTAAGGTACTGGGACACAAGGCAGTCAAATCCAGTACACACTCAACAGCTCCCAGAACGCTGCTATGCACTTACAGTGAGACATCCCCTGATGGTTGTTGGCACTGCAGATAGGAATCTCGTTGTCTTTAATCTGCAGAATCCTCAGGTAAAACCTTCTTGATTCTTCATCTAATTGAATATTCTCATTTCTTTTAACATGTTTGTTCCCATGGAATTTGACTTGGAAATGCAATTGTTATCCTCCATAGGTGGCCGCTTATGTGTTTTAAGCTACAGTTCAGGACAATATTGGTCCCCTTTTTATGGGATACGATTTTGATGTGCATGAGAAAGACATTGGATGCTTGTTTGCATCATTTTCTGCTAATTGTGTGCCCAGAAATTATGTAACCTTGACAGCCACTTTACCTGTCGACTAAAACGGAAGAGCAATAGGATACTTTGCACATCCATTGTACTTGTACGCTGATAAAGGTCTTGGAGATGGTTCTTGCTTACGTTGATCTTAGACTCAAGATAATGGATATTAGGCAAAGTTTTCCTCCACTAGCTAGACCTATTTCCCAGGGAGACTAAAGCAACTAATTAATTTAATCTGTTCATAGGGCTCTCGATTGAAGTACATATACATCACTTAGCACATGACAATGCAATTTTACTCCGCACATAAGATGGCAGTTAGCTTTTTCTACCCAGGATTATTTTTCATGACAATGGCCTATTTGCCTGTTGTTGCACACAACTTTTCTCTATTTTCTTTAATGGTCTGAATTTGCTAATGGCAGTTATAAAACAAATTTTTTTCCTTCAAGAAGAGATAGAAAGGAAGTCATCTTTCATATTTACTCACAGTTAATAATTTTACCTCAATGTTCCAATACTACTGGAATGAGTTTCAAGTTATCAAAGTTTTACCGTTGGAAATGATAACAGGCTGAGTTCAAGAGAATTACTTCACCCCTAAAGTACCAGACAAGATGTGTTGCAGCTTTCCCTGACCAGCAAGGTTTCCTGGTAAGTATTTAGTTGCAGCTAGATTATCATGTATATGATGTGCATCATTTTCTGCTATTCATTTTCTCAATAAAATATGACTTATATTGATGAGAATATGTACTTAGAGAGAATAAGCACAGCACGGTTGAATACGTTGACATGATGAGAACGAAAAGATGGTCAATTGCTTCTAAACCTTATATTGTGATATAATTCAGTTTAAACCTTGCTTGTCATCCTTTTTCGATGATTAAGTATATTGGTCTTTGTCACTCATGGCATTTTTATATTCTTTATCTTGTACTATATTCTTATTGCGGTCCTTTAACTTTTTGCTCTAATGGTAATGGTAAAATTCTGTTAACTCTAGGTCGGATCCATCGAGGGGAGGGTTGGTGTTCATCACCTGGATGATTCCCAGATCAGTAAAAACTTCACATTTAAGTGTCATAGAGATAACAACGACATTTATTCAGTCAACTCCTTGAATTTCCATCCAGTAAGTCAATCTTCGGTAATCCATATTGGCAATCTCATCCAGATAGTCATTATTCATCTAGTCTTACTTTCTTACTTCAGGTGTATCATACCTTTGCCACTGCTGGATCTGATGGTGCTTTTAACTTTTGGGACAAGGATAGCAAACAAAGACTTAAGGTCTCTCTCTCTCTCTCTCTCTCTCTCTCTCTCTCTCTCTCTCTCTCTCTCTCTCTCTCTCTCTCTCTCTGTGGTTGTTGAGTTTGACGAGTATTGCTGTATTTCGTTTTTTTTTCCTGAATACATCATAAGGACCATCGGCTGGTTAAATGATGGTAAGGTCCCAGGTTGACATGGTTTAGGATATCTTAGTATAAGGTTTTCAGCACCTTCATAAACCGAGAATACTTTTTGGGTGGTCTTAGGGCTCTCGACCTGTCTCTCGTGCTATCATTCTGGTTACCCATAATGTATTGAGTAGATCATCTTCATTTCCTTTCCTTTTAGGCCTTAGGGAGACTTTGCTTACGTTAGACATGACCATGTTTGTAGAGTCTAAATGAAATATATTTGAGTCATCTTAATTCATCTAAATACTCATTTTATCTTTTGCAAACCTCTGTTGTTCATGATTTCCCTCTGAAGCTGTCACTTCAAGGGTGAAGGTATCCAATTAAGTAATTTTCAAAAGCGTACAAAAAGTACTTTTTTTTTTGTCAGAATAGACAAAGTACTTGATGACGCTCTCGTTTGGATTAGACTGGTAATTATTTCAGAACTACTTTGGTGCAATTCTCAGGCAATGTCAAGATGCAGCCAACCAATACCTTGTAGCGCCTTCAATAATGACGGCACAATATATGCATATTCGGTGAGTCTCTTTTCACCTTGTAGATAGATTCCTAGTCCATCCTGTTTCTGTAATCAATTTTATCTTCAGAAGAGAGATGCATAGTGAAGGAGGCAATCATACCACTTCCTCGTATGAACATATCAAGAGATGTTCTTATGTGCATGTGTAAATACATCCAATGTTTGACTGTGCTGAAAGAGATGTCGTTGTTATATACTTGGTATTTGCCAACTCCGTCTCACAACATATCAATATAGACTAAAACTAGGGTAGATTCACTTCACTATTTTAGTGTAGATTAACTTCACTTCACTTCATACTCGACTCGTTTAGCCACCACCCCCTCTTTCAGTTTCTTATTGCATACCCACTTTGCTTTTAGAATGGGCTCAAGCTCATGGTGTTTCTGGTTATTCTCTTGGTTGCCTATGATTGGACTTTCTCAATTGCCAAATCTTCTCATATAAATTGAGACGAATATGGAGGAAGCAAGCCTTTGTGATAATATTGCTTTATCCTAAAGAGGTCTGTGGAATATTGAATAATTTGATCATAAAGACATTTCTGTGCTTGTACAGGTTGTTCAGTTAGAGTTTGCTAGAAAACATTAAACTTGTTCTCTAGTTGTATGGCATCTACCTATGTGGCTCCTTCAGCCTTCTGCTCATACTAGCCCCTTCTCTCTCTCTCTCTCTCTCTCAAGTCAAATGTATACTGTTTGATTTAGAATTTGTACAGTGACCCCAACTACATATTTTGAATATGTCATGATGTGATCTGCACGCATGGCCAGGCAGTGCTCTCCTTTTGGTTTTTCTTATGTATGCAAGAGGACTATGATTGTATCAAGGACAATTAGGGATCTGACTAGCACTGAAATTTGTGGTTCAACTTGCATCTAGGTCTGTTACGACTGGAGCAAGGGGGCAGAAAATCACAATCCTGCTACAGCAAAGACCTATATCTTCTTGCACTCACCACAGGTATTTTTATCTTCCTTTCCATTGACTGCTCTTTTAGCTGTACTTAGAAGTGCCTGAATGGGTGGATTACTTATAAGTGGCTACATGCATCTTGATTGGATTGCAGGAAGCAGAGGTCAAAGCAAAGCCTCGGGTTGGAACATCTAACCGGAAGTGAAGCTGCTGATTAGTTTAAAATAGGAAGTTTGAGGAAATTGTGGCAGTGAAGAAAATGGTGCTATTCATTTATCAGAAATTGTAGGATAGGAATGGTCCTTTCCTCTCATTGTGGTTTTTTCAGTCATAGTCATCCATTGTTGATATGTTTTTTTGTCATTTTCATGTACTAGTAACTTCTGCTGTCTCTGATAGGCTAAGTTCTATTCCCTGTATGGGGTGGCGCTTATTTCAGTATTGTTTTTGTCAGGTCATGTCTATCACCTTGATGTTTAAAGGATGAATACATTTCGTACTTCTCAGGAACACAAACAAAATGTTTGCAAGTATCATCAGAAATAATAGATGTCTAGAGCATGACTTGCTCACCATTGCATGAATTGCGTTTGTCCCTCAACATACGGAGTACCAATACTTATCCCCGAACTTCCTTTTTCAGCTAGTGGCCAATAATAACATGCCTTTGATTACTGCTTTTACTGTGATCATAGTTAATAATATTTGCTAATGTACAATATCCCATGAATCATCATCAAGTAGCCAAGCTCGAGAAATTGTCGGTTGAGCTTGAAAGGTACATGAAAGGTAGATGCTGTAAAAAATGCAGTCAGTCTTGAGCTCACCTGTTTTATGTTGGCTGTAGTTTCCCCGCACCATTTTGAGAAACTGTTCTATTGATAGGTCCCTGTAGACTGGGATTTTGAGTTTCAATTGGTTAAAACAGCATGCCAAGGGTACTAATTTTCAATCTATTTTACTGAGATTGGCTTAGAATATTAGCATCTATTACATTTGAGGTCCAGGAATGAGGTTCTCCACAATCAAAGCTTTGCCTAATGTGTGATTATGCTTGCTGTAAAACACAGCATCGAAGGTACGGCCATTATTGTGGATTTTCTTGCATTGCTCAAGATGGTATATTGCTTTCAGATGTTCTTAATCCAGTACGATGGTTTTCTCGCTGTGCTGATCGTGTATTGGGCTTGTAGTCACGGCTCATGTACGGCCTTGTTGTTCTTCTGGTTTTCTGCAATTGTTCCTCTGCTGCTTTCCAAGACGTTTGAGGGTTGTAATCCGTGTTGACCTTGGTGGGAAATAGAAAGCTTCACTTTACCCATAAGAACAATCTCGAGAAAGCTGTCCATTGAAGCTCGAAAGTGACTCGAAAGGCAGACATGATGCAACATGTTTTGCTTAGTCGAATGTTCATGCAGGAGCATGGTCGCATTGGCCTTTTTGCTTGGTAATGTTGGTCCCACAAACGATATAACACGGAAAAATATGACCTAGTCACACGCTTCACGAAGGGAACCAGTCGTGTGCACAGTAATTGTCACGAAAATCAACATGGCATTTCGACCATTCACTTCACTATTTTGATACCTATATAAGAGAGAGTACGTGGGTAGGTTTTATTGAATGATTATTAAGAAAATAGTATCAGATATATATGGTCAAAAGAGATATTAAAAATCATAGTAAATATCCTGAGTATCTCTAGGAAATATCTTTAACATAACTCCAAACGAGAGAATTTGAGTAAAGAAAATCCACGAAAATAACACTAATTAGATGAACCAAATCTCCGATTATCTTTCCTAAGTAACGTATCCATACTTCCTTTACTTACCCAAATCCAACTTTTGAATATCAGATCTAGGATCCGATTGTAATCGCAACTCCATTAATATTTGAACAGAGAAGATCTCTCTTTCCAGTAAAATCAAATATGACCCAAAAAAAAAAGTAAAATAAAAAATAAATAATCTCTCGTGACGCAGGCAGGAAGAGAGAGAAGAGATTAAACGAGAAGCCACGTCAGCCAATAGGTAGGGTCATTCCTTGATTTGCTCTTTCACGTCTACCTCGCTCGTGCATGTGGTTTCTCTCAATTCACGAACTCGCTCGGCGCACTCGTCTCTCCGCTCCGCTCACGGCTCCCCCCCCGCCGGATCGCCCTCCACTCACCGCCCTCCACGCAAGCCACCGGGGCCCGCGGCCCCGATACGTGGCGCATCTCGATTGGACCTTCAGCCGCGGATACCAACCCGCCCCGGTGAGAGAGGAAGAGGACTTTGGCCCTTCGAAACCGAACGACCTGGGCTAAGCAGCTCACAAAAGTCCCGCTCGTTCGCTCAATTGGAGTTTTCCCATAAAAAGACGGAATCAGAGTTTGTTATGAGAGAGAGAGAGAGAGAGAGAGAGAGAGAGAGAACACTTCAAGAGAGAGAAGGCGAAACAACTCGCCACTGTGCTCTGCTGCTCAGAAGACGAAGAAGAAGAAGGATACAAACAGACGAGTTTCGCCTAGCTCATCGCACGGTCGCGTTCCTTCCGTTCCCGAGTAGATTTTCGGGTAAAAGAGTGCTTTAGGATCGATCGGTTTCGGGATACTTAGAAGCGGATTCGTCGCCGGTGCGGGATCGGAGCCGCGGTGTTAGAAAAGCGTCGGGATCAGCTTTCGTTTTGGCGGAGCGATGGCGGGAAACAGCCTGGAAGAGATCAGGAACGAAAACATCGACCTCGTACGTTCGCTTGTCCTCCTCCTCCTCCTCCTTTAGTATTGGTCACTGGTCCTTCGTTGTACGGTTCCTGCTTTAGCGATCGCCTCTTTGCTTTGCGGTGTTACAGATTGTTCCGTGTCTGAATCTGCGCGTGCATTCGCTTGGGATTTAAATTTCAGCCTTTACGTATTCAGCATTCCTCTTCTGTGGCTTCAGTTTAGCGTTCTTGGATCAACGTTTGGCTGCTTTTTTTATGTTGTGTGTTTTCGCGATTCTCTTAGGCTTCTGCTAGATTGTCCCGGTGTATAATGCAGCCAGTGAAATTCATGTCGATATATTTTTTCGCTAAACTTCATCCACCGCTTCCTGAGCAATGCGTTCAGTGGGAAGCACCATCTTTGCCTCGTACAAATTTGATTGTGCGAACTGCATGGGGATCAACGTTTCAGTCGCTTTATTTTAACTATACGTTCACGAGAATCTTTGACCAGTTTGTTTTGATTCAGTCCCTCCAATGTATTCAGCTTAGCATTATGTTCCCACATGATTGGTTTATATGTGTGCGCCTTCTGTCAGATATTTGAATTGGATTGTCTTAGATCTCTACTTTTCACATCAGAAAAGTACACCTCATTACCATCCAATGAAATTAGCTTCTTACCATGCAATGCCTAGTGGCATCTTTTTTATTGCAAGAGTTGGACATGAATCTGTGCTAAGGATTACACCTTGAAGAGTGAACGTTTAAAGTAGTGTTTGGTTAAAGGATCATGAATCTGAATAGAGTAATTTCCGTAGTAAATTTCTGAATATTTTACTGGATACTGTCTATATTATTCTTCCCAGGAGCGCATACCAGTCGATGAAGTTTTTGAACAACTGAAATGCTCAAGAGAGGGTCTGTCCACTGAGGAAGCGCAGAGGAGGCTCCCACTTTTCGGTCCAAACAAGCTAGAAGAGAAGAAGGCATTGCATCTTACATCTTCTCCCCTTTGAAATATTATTATTTCTTTTGTCAGAAAACGACTAACTTGACTAATTGTTTTTCCACCTGAAACAGGAAAGTAAGGTCCTGAAATTCTTGGGATTTATGTGGAATCCACTTTCTTGGGTCATGGAGATGGCTGCCATCATGGCTATTGCTTTGGCTAATGGAGGGGTAGTTATCAGTGCCGTCATCTATCCGTCCTAAATTCTATGCAAATTGTGACTGAAGTTGATCTCATGCAGGGACGACCACCAGACTGGCAGGATTTTACGGGCATACTAGCCTTGCTTATCATCAATTCTACTATCAGCTTTATTGAGGAAAATAATGCAGGAAATGCGGCAGCAGCACTAATGGCAGGCTTAGCACCCAAAACAAAGGTCGCTCACTTATAAGTTGCACATGACATTTTTCAGTGACCACAAATGTATCAGAGAGCATACCGAAACTGAATGTTTTTGTTTGCTTTACTTTGAAGGTTCTTAGAGATGGAAAATGGAGCGAGCAAGAAGCAGCAATTTTGGTTCCTGGAGATGTGATCAGTATTAAGCTTGGAGATATTATTCCAGCAGATGCTCGCCTTTTGGAGGGTGACCCTCTTAAAATTGATCAGTCTGCTCTAACTGGTGAATCCCTGCCTGTAACCAAGAATCCTGGAGATGAAGTTTTCTCTGGCTCAACCTGCAAGCAAGGGGAAATAGAGGCGGTTGTCATTGCTACTGGGGTTCGTACCTTCTTCGGCAAGGCTGCTCACCTTGTTGACAGCACCAACCAAGTGGGGCACTTCCAAAAGGTACTTGTTTTTATGTCTTGATTAAGCTTGCAGCTATGATTAAAACATGATAAATATTAAAGTAGAATGACCGTGCCAAAATGAGTGTGAAGGGATTGCACAAAATGTTGCAAATTTTATCAAAGTAATGTGCTCTTTGCTACATTATCGTTTTTTTTTTTTATGGTGTTACTAAATCTTGATGATGACGATGATGATGATACACTCTGGGGGCAAATTACTGACTGCAGCATTATATTTGGGAATGACCAATTGGGAACGACATTCTTTTTGAAATTTTCCAAGTCTGATGTGTAATCAATGGTGACAATTTAAACCAGGTACTGACTGCCATCGGGAACTTCTGCATATGTTCAATTGCCGTGGGAATGATAGTAGAGATAATAGTCATGTACCCAATTCAGCGCCGAAAGTACAGGGATGGTATTGACAATCTGTTGGTTCTCCTTATTGGAGGAATTCCTATTGCCATGCCAACAGTCTTGTCAGTGACGATGGCGATTGGATCCCACCGGCTGTCTCAACAAGGTGCGATCACCAAGAGGATGACAGCTATCGAAGAGATGGCTGGGATGGATGTCCTTTGCAGTGACAAGACTGGGACTCTTACACTCAACAAGCTTACGGTAGACAAGAACCTGATTGAGGTTAGTACTGGAAACACTGAAGTTTTGATAATAGAACAACAGTGTCCAAAAATCCGATATTTAGTACCTCACGGTTCAAAAGCAGTCTTTAAGCATCTGACAAAGCCAAAAACAAATGGGAAAATAGGTTTGAGATACTAAGATAATCCCGAAGTATTGTTACTTTACATGCTGGTAATGGTTATGAAAAATCAACCGTCAGGTATTTGCAAAGGATGTAGACAAGGACGGCGTAATATTGCTCGGCGCTAGAGCTTCTCGGGTTGAGAATCAGGATGCAATTGATGCCTGTATTGTTGGAATGTTAGCTGATCCGAAGGAGGTATTTAACTTTATGAATATAAATTTGTCAAACTTTGCTCTGCATTGCTCAAGCTCATCGGACAATGTCGGTTTTCTGTCATCATTTCAATGATCTTCCGTCACATGGCCTAGATCTACTGTTCCAGGAGCATCATGTGATTTTCTCATTGTATGCATTTTCAAAACCCCAAAAAGAGCAAAAAGAAAATGAAAAAAAATTCAAAGATTTAGTGTATTTTATGAACATAGTGAGGGAAACAGAAGTTTCAGTGACGTGCCTGACTATATTGAGTTTTGAGTTATTGAACCAACATAATATTTTGGGCAATAGTCAACCGGATACACAAGTACCCCATTTTTTAGAGGATTTTATCTCGGTTTTAATAATACGCGTAGCGAAGATTACTTTCCTCGTTCCAAGATTACTGAAGTGCTTCCAAGTATCTTTTCTAATTTTGACATGACATAACTGCTCTTGTTGGCCATGAATGCTCGTACTCGACACAGGCTAGAGCTGATATCACCGAGGTCCATTTCTTACCTTTTAATCCTGTGGACAAGCGAACAGCTATAACATACGTGGACTCCAATGGTAACTGGCATCGAGTCAGCAAAGGTGCACCAGAGCAGGTAAACTTTTTGCTAGTTAGGCATCTTTCTTGTTCTGGACCAAATTCGTATCTAGGCTTTTTATTGCTCTGTTCTTCCAACTATACATAGTTTTTTCCGGTGACTTTCTTTGCATATTCATTGTTTAAACTAGTTTTTAAATATCTACCAGATCGTTGAGCTCTGCAAGGTTAGGGAAGATGTGAAGAGAAAAGTCCATGATATCATTGATAAGTTTGCTGACCGCGGTCTTCGCTCCCTAGCAGTTGCCAAACAAGTGAGCCACAATTTTACCAAAGAGTTAGGCTTGATTACTATGGACATCAATGAATAACTTCATGGTGATAATGTTTTTTGCCCGCAGACTGTGCAAGAGAAAACCAAGGATAGTGCTGGAGAACCCTGGCAATTTGTAGGTCTGTTACCTCTTTTCGATCCCCCAAGGCATGATAGTGCAGAGACCATCAGGCGAGCACTTAACCTTGGAGTCAACGTCAAGATGATTACTGGAGACCAGTTAGCGATAGGCAAGGAGACAGGTCGCCGCCTAGGAATGGGGACTAACATGTATCCCTCCTCCTCACTCCTAGGCCAGCACAAGGATGAATCAATTGATGCCCTCCCTGTTGATGAGCTAATTGAGAAAGCTGATGGCTTCGCCGGTGTCTTTCCTGGTATGAACTTGTCACATAGCACCTACTTTGGCCTAATAGACTTATAATGAAAATATGATGATTTATATGATATGTCGCACGCATAGCCATAGTCTTCCAACTTGCAAGTGATCTTACATGCAAGTTCTTATTTCCTTTGATGTAACTTTGCTATCGAAGTGGCTGAAAGATACTAAATGTCATGTGCCAAACAAACAGAGCATAAGTACGAGATTGTGAGGAGGCTACAAGAAAGGAAGCACATATGCGGGATGACTGGTGATGGCGTGAATGATGCACCAGCTTTAAAGAAGGCAGATATTGGAATTGCTGTCGCTGATGCAACTGATGCTGCCCGAGGTGCATCTGACATAGTACTCACCGAGCCAGGGCTGAGTGTGATTGTCAGTGCTGTCTTAACAAGCAGAGCGATCTTCCAGAGAATGAAAAACTACACCATTTATGCAGTCTCGATTACAATTCGTATTGTGCTGGGTTTTCTGTTGCTTGCTCTTATATGGAAGTATGATTTTTCACCTTTCATGGTGTTAATCATTGCCATATTGAATGATGGAACTATCATGACCATCTCTAAAGATAGGGTGAAGCCATCTCCTGTACCTGACTCCTGGAAGCTCAGGGAGATTTTTGCTACTGGCATTGTCCTTGGAACCTACTTAGCTGTCATGACTGTTGTTTTCTTCTGGGCTGCACATAAAACTGACTTCTTCTCGGTAAGCTTATATTTTAAATCAAAAGGATAATTATCAAAATAGTCCTCCTTGGCCTTTCTCCTTTATGAATAAAGTTTTAACTCATTACCTGACTTCACAGAACAAATTTGGAGTGAGGTCAATTAGGGACAATCCCCACGAGCTTACAGCAGCTGTCTACCTCCAAGTGAGTATCGTGAGCCAGGCACTCATCTTTGTTACTCGATCTCGCAGCTGGTCATACATTGAACGCCCAGGTCTCCTGCTTATGTCTGCCTTCATTGTTGCACAGCTGGTAAGGAATGAAAACTTGATGTTGATAACAGATATTTTATCATTGAACAGACTCTTTGATCTGGTTTATGCTTTATCAGATTGCAACTCTCCTAGCCGTCTATGCAAAATGGGGTTTTGCAAGAGTACACGGGATCGGCTGGGGATGGGCTGGTGTTATATGGCTGTACAGCATTATCTTTTATATCCCTCTAGATATTCTCAAGTTCATCATCCGCTACGCACTGAGCGGCAGGGCTTGGACTATTTTACAGAATAAGGTACCTATCCATCAAGCTTTTCTCTTATGAGAAGGAAGTTGGTGAACTTCACACATTATGCCTCTCTTGCAGTCTGTCATTTGTAGCTTGCTTGTCACTGCATAAATTTTTCCCTTGCAGACGGCTTTCACAACTAAGAAGGATTATGGAAAAGAAGAGAGAGAGGCTCAATGGGCAAGGGATCAACGCACGCTACACGGCCTCCAGCCACCCGAAACATCTGAAGTTTTTAAGGATAAAAACAACTATGCAGAGCTGTCCGAAATTGCTGAACAGGCTAAAAAACGTGCTGAGGTTGCAAGGTACAGACCTGAAGGAACAAATTACATCAAAACTTGACATTTTTTGCCAGAAATCCTGATTTTTTTTTTTCTGTTTCTATACTTCCCCAGGTTAAGAGAGCTTCATACCCTCAAGGGGCATGTTGAATCAGTGGTCAAACTTAAGGGGCTTGACATCGAGACAATTCAACAGCATTACACCGTTTGATTGACGCCGGCTAAGATGTAGCTGATGACTGCATTTTTTATAGGCATTGGCCATAGAGATAGAAAGAGGAACTATATTGATGGCACTATTTTCATTCTGTTTTTTCATTAGAAGCCATTGGGGAATAATACATCAAGAAATTGCCACAGGCAATCATGAGTAGAACAATGGAGAGAACTATAATGTTCTGTCAGTATGGAGTGCCAATATATTTGCCTCTAATCGATGTATGCTTGTTAGCTCCGTAGTTATACAGTATCCATCAATAGGGTATCCAAGCGTTTCCTTAGCAGGAGCTACTGATTTTGTGGTGTTTTCTTACATGTGGAGTGCAGAAGTGTCTCGAGAAAGTTCAACCATTGAGAAGTACTGTGATAAAATCGAAAACAAACCCTTTGGCTTCTTTCACTTGCTCCTCCAAGGAGAAGTCATGGCTAGCTCTGTCAGCAACATCGCTCACAATGCATCCCCCAAAGCAGTGTTAATTTCGTAAACCTTTTGTTGCTTAGAATTCCCCGTCAATTTCAGAGAAAGCGTCTGTCTCCCCGTTTACCCTGGGCTCTAGTCAGACTTTTCTTTCATCTAACTGAACTTGGGCTTTCAAAAGGGAAAAGAAGACAAAGAAGAAGACGTCGACTCATTTCTTCAGTTGGCGGCGGTGCATCTCTAGAACATCCTTCAACAAGCAAACCCACCTTACAGACATGGTACCTTACTAATTAAGCAAGTACGATATTTGCAGGGATTTCGAACGTCAAGAAGTCCAAGCGTGGTATGCGACTTGTTATTTAGCTAAATGAGACCATTCTGAGCAAAATCAGAGGCAAAGTAACTGTCATTTTATGCTCCCATAGAAAGAACCTTCTGGTCTCAAGAAGGTGCTATCAAGTCATAGGACGATGACTCCGATCATCTCTACCAAATGGTAGCGCCATTGCAACAAATCTCAGGGTTCGTCAAGGGCTAAAGCTACATCAAGGAATGCCAGCAGGACCAAGGAACTAAACAACTTCCATTAGTCTTGTGAATTAATAATTTACACAACAAAGCAGTTTAACCTTCCCATCCTACGAGCTCAGACCTATCATTACAGCAATCCCCCATCACAGTTACAATTTCCAGTGGCAAGCAAAAAAAGAATACGACTAACCAAAAAGAATAAACCATCGCAATTTCTCTGTTTTCTTTTCACCTTTTCTTCGGACAATACCCCAGATGCTTCAGGTACCAGAGTGCCCCTTCAGCTGCATGCTCTGCTGCATCTTTTTTCTTTGACCTAGGTGCACTAAAGCACTCTAATATTGTGACTCGGGATTCATCTTTAACCTCTGTGATTACTTTGAATGAGAATCTGCAGTCAAATCGCAACGGGAAAATTACCTTTGGAAGCAGATAGTGCATGTGCAATTAGAAATGATGTCAAGAATAAGATCAGACACCAATCAAATTTGATAGTCTCTCTTTCTTAAAAACTAAGTTAGATCATGGTTCTTTAATCCGTCCCAAATCTATTATGCAACTCCCATTACTATTAAAACAAGCTTACTGTCTCAAGTGGCTTGGTCCTTCCTCTTTGTAGCACTCAAAGCAAGGGAGCTTCCACTTGTTCCGAGCACATATCTCATACAACTTTGCTTTTGCCGATCCACTCTCAGCATCACCTAAAATTTAGATATGCAAGTGCATCTATTTAGACCTTTTATTGCCAAAAGAGCAAAAAGATTTTGCAACCCTTTATCAGAAACAAATAAATACACAATCCAACTCCATCAAAGTACAATTAAGCAAGCTCAAAACGTGGTCACAATATAAGGCTCTCTGTTTATAGATATGATGCAGCTGATGCTAGGAACCTCAACGTAAATTCGCTTTCAGGGACTGTAGGCTTCTTTCGATAGAAACTTCAGATGGGACCATCTATCCAGTACGCTAAAGATAATTCTGATTTTGTAACAGCTTCCGTATCAAAACAACAAGGTTCTAGGTATGCCCTCAAAATTAATATCAGGTAATCAACTTTCATGCACTGAAGCTGGTATGATAAGAAGGAAGACAAATCATGGAGCAGGTTATACCTAGAGGACTTGCCTCTGCCTCACTGGTGTCCTTCTCTTTCTTGATGGCGATGATCTTGCTCTCCGTGCACAGTGCAGGGGACATCAAAGAAGAATCTGGATTTATGGGTGATTGCTGTGAATCAGCTTGCTTTTCCACTGGGGTTGGTTTTGCCTAACCACCTTCCTGTACTGGTTGGTGCTGCTGGCTTTACCCAACTTGTTCTGGAGAAGTTCGTCGTCAACAAAAGCACAATTCCACACAAACCGAAATCATAATTTTGGTACCAAAAGGAGAATAAAACACACACAGCGACACAATATTGTAACCTGCAAGGGGCAATAGATACTACAGAGTTGGCTTAGCCACAACTAGAACAGAAGGATGGAGAGAGAGAGAGACAGAGACAGAGAGAGTTGGCAATAGATACTGTAGATACTCCCTTCCTTTTTAAGGTCAGCTAGCACGAATGAAGCTCTTAACCTGAAGATGTGGCTTTGTGTTCATGATGTGCTGCGGATCAATGGTAGGCATACTTCTAAGGCCGAAGCTTTTTTGGGTAGGAATGCTTCTTCTCCATCTGCTCTTGCATGACACCACCAACTCATCCTCATCTCTCTCTCTCTCTCTCTCTCTCTCTCTCTCTGTGATGATAACTCCAGTGTGTAAAAATTGCGTCAGAAGGCCGTGCAAGTGGCATCTCGCCTGAATGGTGCATATATCGACCGATGTTCTGGATCAGTTCACCTGTCAAAAAAGTGGCCAAAGATAATGCAATGCGCTTAAACGAGATTAAAGCTGCGCATGACAACTATTATGTGTCTAGAATCAGATTCTGGGCAGAAATAATTTTTTTTGGTTTTGTGTCTGGAAATAATTTCTAAGCATTTGAAGGCGTTTGGTAACTGCTCAAAATTTCTGTTTTTAGAATAAAAAAATAACAGAAATGCGTTTGGTAACTACATAAAATTTCTTTTTATTAATAATATTTTAATAATATTTTTAATTTTTTAATATTTATTTTTTTTTTTTTTCTTTCTTTCTCCTTCCTTTCTTGGCCATGGCCGGCTGCCGGCGCCGGCGATCGGCCACAGGCTAGGGCCGGCAAGGGCGTCGCGACCCTTATCGCCACCCTCGCCGTTACCACCCAGGCGATGGACTTGGGTGGCGACGGCGAGGTCGGTCTCGCCTTAGCTGGGCGAGGTCGCAACGCCCTCGTCGGCCCTGGCCTATGGCCGGTCGCCGGCGGCCGGCGGGTGGCGGGGCCGAAGAACAACAACAACCAAAAAAAAGAAAAAAATCAAGAAGAGTCAGTTCTGAAAAAATTATTCCAGAATCAAGAAGCTACTTTTTTTTTATTCCTGATTCTGTTCCAAAACTGATTCTGAAATTGTGCCTGGGCACAAAAAATTTAACAAACGGATTTCTGTTCCCAAACTGATTCTGGGAACAAAAGAACAGAAGCAGTTACTATTTGGTAAGTTGCCAAACATGCCCTAAGAAGTTCAACCAACACCGGTCGGTCTCCGGTTAACTTGTTGATGGGCCTGGAGAAAATGTTTCCTCTCTCCTAATCCATTGGTATAATAAGCCCATCAATTCCATTAGGTAGCATTCAGTGCCAATGGGCCTGGCTCTGAAATTCACCAACAAACTCGTTCTTTCTTCTTGTTTGACAGCGACACTTACCGGGTTGTGCTACCACAAGGAATCACTAGTTCTTTAACGTGGTGGTGGGTCTGCTATTAGCGTCACTTGGGTTTCTCTCTCATTGTCGGCGTGCGAAGTTTACGGGTTATCAAAAAAAAAAAAAACTAGTTCTTTAATCTCTTGACCTCGATTGATTTTGGTTAATTTACCAAGGATAATGCTAAGTGACTAATTAAGAAAATTTTACGATTCTTAATACGCGATTGCCCTCGTGTGACTTCGAGTGTCCAATGACCCATTTATGAATTGCTATTTTTCGTATGATTTGCTTGACGAGCGGAATGAATCGAATGATCACCTTCTATTGACCAAAATCCAAACAAACGAGACAACCTCGACAAAAGCAAAGCAAGCATTAAACGTGGGGCAGAATCAGGCAGGCCCTGCTTCTGCACAATCGCATTGAAAGAGGGTTTCATCGTCTCCAAAATGGCACATCAACCGACGCGACCTGCCCTCCTTCCATTTGCCATTTCTTCCAGCCGGAGCTACTAAAGTTCAGCCCTCTCTGTGGTATCTCTGTTGGGCATGCGTTGAGTTAATGTGCCTTCGTTTGCGGGACACAGGGCAGCGACGGAATCAAACCATGTCCATTCACACGGATTTCGACCTTCATTCATTAGCTGCACCTTCCCGTATTTACTACGCCAAATTTGCACAACCATATGCACATATCTCAAGAAAATCACTAATGAATATGTTCAGCTACGGTCAACGTGCAGCTCACACCGTCGATTTGCAAGCTCCCCTTATATATACACCACCAGGTTTCATGCATAAGACAATGCATGATAAGAAGTTAGAAGTCGAAGCCAAAGAGGGGAGACTGAGAGGGAGATGAGAGTAGAGTCACGAGATATCAACAATGAAGGCTAAGAGAGTCGTCAAAGTAGTGGCTTTAGTGCTAGTGTCGTTGCTTCTCATAACCCCGACGACCGCACATTCCGTCCCAACACGAGAAGCAAGTCCAAGCCACCAAGAATCAACACTAACCCAAGACAAGAGAAGCCGATCGTCAAGACGTGGCAGTGGCGGCAGCGTCGGTGGCCGAGGAATAAGGACTAGACCGAGAGCCAATTGCGACCCCTTTTACCGCTTCCTCTATGGAAGCTGCGGCCAATGGCCCTTCTCGACCTCCTCTTCCTCTCCTGACAACCCGTTCTCGCGGTCCACGCCTCGCCCTAGCCGTCGCCCTCAGCCGTCCCCCAGTCCGCTTCCCCCACCCCTTGTCCTCTCCCCTCCCCCCATCCCCTTCCCGCCCCCGCTAATCTCGTCCCCTCCGCCCGTCCTGCAAACCCCTCCTATACCCTCCTCGCCCCCACCATCACCGGTACCGGAATCGCCACCGCCGTCCCCGTCCCCGCCCCCTCCGTCCTCTCCACCGCCCTCCCCGTCCCCGTCCCCGCCCCCTCCGTCCTCTCCGCCGCCCTCCCCGTCCCCGTCCCCGCCCCCTCCGTCCTCTCCACCGCCCTCCCCGTCCCCGTCCCCGCCCCCTCCGTCCTCTCCGCCGCCCTCCCCACCTCCACCCTCCCTACCTCCGCCCCCACTTGTGCCGTCGCCGCCCCCGCCGGAAGAGCTCCCTCCACCCCTCCCGCCAGTGGCCTCTCCGCCGCCGCCGTGGTTCTTGTCTCCACCCACCGAGTTCATTTTCCCGCCACCGCTGGTTCCTTCTCCTCCGCCGTCGGTAGTCCAGGAAGCACCGCCGTGGTTCCCGTGGCTATCACCACCTGACTTCGCCTCAGAGGCACCACCACTTCCACTGCTGTCCTCACCGCCTCCTTTCACCCTACCGGTGACGCCACCGGACTTCTTCCTGCCACCGCCGATGATCCCGCTCGTCCCCATTTTCTCTCCTCCAGCGCCTGAGCCGCCTGTCTTTCCATTCCTGACACCGGAACTTCCACTACCAACACCACCGGCATTTCAACTCCCGCAAACGCCGGATTTCGTCTGGCCGCCTCCGCTGTTCCCTGACATTCCGACATGGTCGGCGCCGCCAACTCCATTTTTGCCTCCGTTTCAGTTCTCGCCGCCGTCGGACTCGTCGTCAATCAAGAACTGATCTGTTTGCTTTGGCTTCTTGGTGTCAACGAGTACCTGTTTTTTTTGTTTGTTTTGCATGTCAAGAATAATTAAGTTAAGAAACATTTGCAAGCGATTGTGGTGTTTGTACATTCCTTTTAAGTTAGATGACAACAAAAAGAAAATGATCACCAAGCTGAACAGTGTCAAGACTTCAATGCCTTGTTAACCATATAATTCCAACATGTACATTTGAAATTTCAGTGAAAATCGAATCATATTACTGCTCGGTAATCGATCGGTCCATCCATAGAAAGTTTTCCATATATTCATAACAGAGAAAGTCAGAATACAAACTCATAGAGGAAGTTCCCCCACTTCAGAAACTAGCAACTACTTCAGCGGAGATAGAGAGTTCAAGATGCCAATTGATTGGCTCCATCTTCTTCCTCCTATAGTGCGAATCTACCCAATGGCCCACACATGTTGTTTAAGCTTTCTAGGAACAGCAGATGCTCTAATTCTTTAGAAATGACTGCAAGAACAGGCTCCGCAAGACTTTCTACCATGCCTCTGTGTTAGCTCATTATGCACAACGAGTGAGTCCATTTCAATGCAGATGTTGCCCCCAGGATTTTTCCTTAGCCACTTTTATAGAGTTACACATGGCAAGAGCTTCTGTTATATCAACCGAGTCTGCATCAGCCGCGAAGCCTCTGCCACCAACAAGCTCTCCATCCGAATTCCCAGCCACTATTCCAACTGCTTGTGAAGTATCACGTCGAAAGCCCCATCACAATTTATTTTTGTAACGTCCCCGAAACGCTTCTTCCATTTCTGTAGAAAGAACTACTGTAGGAGCACCATTCCTAATCTTGCCTGTTGCTTCCACAGCCATGGACAAACCCCTTCAACGCAGTATTAATCAGGGAGACCACAACTTGGGGAGGTTGTTCAGCCTGGTTAATACCCGTCTCATTTCTACTCTTCCACATATACCAGCAACAAAAAGGCTTTTTTAATCACAATCTCTAGGCCTAAACTGACATCTGAACGAGATCCCTCGATCAACTCCTTTAACCACGCATCAAAAGTAGTAATCTGCTCTTCACAAATTCTGATGCCAGCACACCCAGACCAAATAGTTCTACATCTAGCACATGGTAACAGCAAATGCTCCACGGTCACCTTTTCCCAGCAGAAAGGCAAACGAGGATCCTGCTTCGTCTTCCCTAGGAATAAGTTCTTGCTGGTAGCGCAAATGATGCCTGCATTTTAGGTGGGCATTGGGCTTTCCAAATTACTTTCGACACCTGCTTCTCAACTGCATGAGTACTGGAGGCTTTTAGTCTAACTACACCTCTTATTTCAAGTTGTCTTGCACAATGATGACCGGCTTGACTGACAGATTTTCATCTCTCTCCGAGGGCCCTCTTAGGTTGGCTTTGGATATGGATTTTGGCAAAATCCAAATGCCGAAAGCATAAAACCTTTTTGGAAAATGTAAATTGCGTTTAGTAAAAACACATTTACAAAACAAAAGTAGTACTTGGCAAAAAAAAATTTGCATAGGCCTTTGGCGGCAATTTTTCTATTAAAAAAAAATCAAACTGTTCACCGGCTTCGACAAAGAGCTGAGGCCGTCGGCAAGCCAGATCTGATGCCGATGGCCATTGACCAAGATAGCTTGACCTCGGGCGACCCTTGGTGAGGGTCGTACGACCTCAGGCGGCCCTCACCGACAAGCTTAGACACCGTCGCCGGTGACGCGCAACGCTTGGGCTTGTTGGCAACTAGCCACAATCTATCCTTAACGAGGGTAAAAGGAGAATATGAGAAAGCTAGTGAGGGTAAGATGGGAAGAAAAAAAGTCAATAAATTCTGTAGAGATAGAATTTCGAAAATGTCGAAAGCCCAAAGCCAGCATCTGGCCAAATGCTGAACCAAAAGCCGAACCAAACGCCTCATTTGTTTCCGACTTTACACTAGGTGAATTTAGTATGTTTGCTATTAGAAGAGATAATCAATTCCAATTTTTATATTTCCAATGCGCATTGGCACGTTTTCCTTTTACGATATGGAATCATGTTTCCCGATTCGATTTTCTTGACGATACAGGAAAGTTTGGTCAAACCGAACGAAGGAATGGAAAAAAAGTGGGAGGAACGACACTTCACAGTTCCACTGTTTTTCCTTTAGCTACGGACAAATATCAAATGGTATCGTGCTGAACATGTATGGTGGGAGTAGTCAGATTTCCGTCGTGAACCCCCACGGCAGCACCTTTCCAATACGGTCGCGGAGTCGTCGTAAGATTTTTCGCCCCCAATTCCACAACCAGGAGGAAGAAGTAAACGGAACGCGAAAGGGACGTGATGCCACGTGTCCCCCCGCAAAGGTGGGCCCCGCGCACACGAGTAGAAGGGAAGATGATCAATCAAAGCCCACAAATCCCTCCACAAACGAACGCGAGCACACACCAACGCCATCCCATCATCAAACGCCATTATTATTCTTATTATTATTATGGCATTTTTTTTAAATTTTTTGTTAAATTCTTATTTTTCACGACATTCAGCACAACCTACGTTTCCATTTTCCTTCTTTAGCCTCCCACCTCCTTTTCCACCACCACCATCCGTCCCTTTTGCGCTTTTCTGCCTCTCTCCCTCTCCCCCTCTCCCTCTCTCTCTGTCTGAGACGACCCGCATCATGGCCTGCGACGACGAGGCTGAGTGGCTGGCCACCGCCATGACGGACGACTCCACCGTGGCGGAGCTCCTCCTCCGGATCCAAAGCGCGGGCGCGCCGCCTCACGCGGCGGCGGCGGCGGCGGCGGCCGCCCGCGCCCTGAAGCTCGACTGGACCGTGCGCCAGCGGAGGTCGTCCAACTCCAAGACCGCGCCGAAGGAACCCGGGCGGAAGAAGCGCGGCGGCGAGCCGGCCCGAGCGAGCCCGACGACTCCCCTCTCCTGGAGCGGCGCCACCTCCACCAGCGGCGGCGGCGGCGGCGGCGGAGGCGGAGGAGGCGACGAGGAGTGTAGCGGCGTCCCCGTCGTCAAGTCACCGGAAAAGGCAAGATCTAAGGTGTGTACTGTAATCGTACTGCGCTCGTGCACCTTCTTTCCTACATCGTCGGCTCTCGCGGCCACGTGTCGCCTCTCGATAGGCTCGAATCTGATTCGCAGGGCTTGTGCGAGAGTGTGAGCTTCTTGTTTTTGAGCCGGCGGTTTGAGGAGATCGGCGCGTCGGTTCTCATAACACGCGAACCGTCAGACACGGCCTGCTGACCTCCGCGTCACCAAATTCAACGGTGGAGATCGGTGTTGGCTTTGGGCTTTTACGGTTGTCAGCGTCCGAGTCGAGGTCCGAGTACAGTAACAGTTGGGCGGTCTCTCTGTTTCCCAGCTGTGGACGAAAATGACCCATGTGTCCTCGGGTATTTACCCCGTGGAGTGGATATGAGCAGAAGAAGAAACACTTTTAGAAAGAGACACGCTTCCTTGAAAACGGGACTGCTTGTTTTTTCCCGGGTCGTGACTGACCCATTCGGATCCTTTGCTCCGGTCCAATATGCTCGTATAGAGATATTGACGGTGCAAACAAAAGGGTCTCTTTCCTTAGCTCTCGAGATTTTCAGCGTCTTTTCTTTTGCGAGGGGTCAACCCACAACGCGCCTTTGCTAAAGTGGGTTTGCAAGGTACAGGGGCATTTGGGTAAAATGGGCATACGTTGTTAGGGGGGGGGGGATGGGTGGCGTGTTGTCGTGGCAAAAAAATGGGAGTGCGTGCAGTTTTGGTTGGGTTGGGTAGTGGTTGTGTGCTTTATGTTGAACTTTGCTTTGCGGGAGCCGAATTATTCGGTGCGTTCCGCCTCACTTTACGGTCCCCTGTGGGCGCATGCAAGTTGGCCCTGTTTCGGCCATCGCTCGCGTCCATGGGGGAAGCATCTTCATGTATCGATGGCAAGTACCGCCGAATCATCTCAAAGAACAGTTTTTCCGTACTTGCTACGACCCTGAAATCGTTTCCCTTAAGGAACGATCAGCTCGATCTTCATCTCGTCGCACCATGAAATAGTCGGTCTCCATTTCCTGCTCTTGCTTTTTGCTTACTTTTCACGTGACAGAGCAGTGCTGCGTAGCAACGATTGGCTGTCGCTTTTGTGTGGACTTGCTTTGCATGACAACCCCCCCCGTCACCGAATTTGCACAAATGGGCAACAGACAAAAAGCGGAGGGCGAGTTTATTTAGACGGTTTGGCAGGGTCAGAAGTTGGGGGATGCTAAGCCTTTTTTGGCACGCACGATGGACGGTCTTGATTGGGCCTGTTTCTGGTACCTTTTGGATTGGGTCTAAGCACGTGAAATTTCTATGCACTGAGTTCGCGTTGTATGAAGGTTTTTCTCATTGTTTTTAAGGTCAAAAAAGTACCACGGAAGTATTGTCATCCTGAATCAGAGGCGTTGGAGTTGCTGTTATTCTAGTAAAGGGACCCCTTTCCGAACCTTGTTCATTTTCTTTTCGTGCATGGGCTTTTTGACACTTGCGTGGGCTCCTCTTCGGGTATTGAGCTACCGGGCCCAATTTGAGTTGCCCGATATGGCCAATGACCAAAAGCATATACAATGGCGGATCGTCAGCAAACCCAGCTCGAGTTATCCACTCACGTTCTTTCTTTTTTGTCCCTCTCCAGCTGCGAGTTGCTCTTCTTATCTAATCAGATGATGCTTTCCAGTTCAAGTGCTTGACAGTCCCAGTTTTGCTTTTGCTGTTGTTTAATTTCATCACGGACCAACTGACTGACTTGTGGGAAATGTCATCCAGACCACCAATGGGAGCACGACCACGAGCGCCGCCACACCCAGCAAGAGGCCGAGAAAGAAAAAGGTAACAAATTCTTGGTCTTATAAATTTCTTCGTGGTCTCGGTAATACAAGTGAAGTTATTAGAAAAGTGTCCACAGACATACAGTTAGAGTAGTACTCGACGTGACGTGTTACATAGAGATTATGGTAGTTCATCTTGTTTAAAATTTGTTGTACATCGTCGTACTCCCTCTAATTTGTGCGGATATATCTTTGACACGTGTGGCAGACACTAGCTGAACTGAGGGAGGAGGAGAACAAGCTCTTGAAGGAAAGAAGGAGACTAAGATGGGTATGTTTTCTTCTTTCCGTGTTGCGAGTTGCCGCTCTTTAGCATCGGAGTAGAATGCTTTGTCTTAGATGGATGAGTTTTCGCTTTTCTCGATGGGCAGGGATTGGCAAACTTGCGTCGTGTTGTTGAGAAGCAAAGACTTGCGAACGAAAGCTTGAAGAAGATGAAGGTGAGGTTTCCTTTCTCGTGCTAAGCTGTACGAAGTTGTATCTTTTTTGTAATAATTTGGAAGGTCCGATAGTCTATCGATTGGGTATCAAGGAACTATATCAATAATCAAGATATATTTCCACATCAATGATCAATGCCAAATCGTAGAGTTGGGTCTTCCAACATTAAGAGCTTTGCATATTTATTTCTCATGTCCTTTTGATCGGCAAATAACTTAAATCATTATTTAGCCTTAATCCTTTTCATGTTTTTATTCCTTAATTAATTGTATCTGAGTCAACATTATAAGAAACCAAAGAAGCGAAGTGGCTATCGTACCTTGTAACTGATGACACTATCTTGTTTTGGGCAACTTGTTTGGAATGGCTACAGATTCGGATTAGTGAATTATTCTTTGAATCTCGACGCTGATGGTGATTTTGTATCGCTGCACAGCTTGACACGCAATGTAAGCGGGAAGCCGAGACAACTCCTGAAGAGCAACCGCTGAACGTCAGTTCCTGTACCCCGTGCAGCAGCGCATCGAAAACATGCAAGGTCGAAACTTGTGAAAGACTCTTTGAGCTGCCTGATCTCAATTTGCCAGTGGAAGGTTCCGGCTGAGACTTTCACCTGAGATGTGCTGAGAGTTCATGCAATCATGTGGTAGGGGAGTCCATTGAGGGTCGGGTCTTTAGTTGGAGAGTCCCGATTGTGTTGTAGCCTGTAGGATGAATCCAGGAACAATCCATTAGTAGGGTTTCACACTTTTAGGTCCATTCTTAACCTTTCTAATTGCATGTAAGTAAATTTTAATTGCGCAAGTTAGGGGGAGTGGTTTGTAGATCTTAACGCGTCAAGGTCGGTTTTCTCGTCTTTAAGTTTTCGTAATATGAAGGGAGAGTCCTACCTGATTTTAGTCCTTTGATTAGCTGTCCTCTAATCCGTTGGCAGATTTGTTAGATACATTTGGAGTTATGGTAACATCGATTCTACGTTGTGCTTGTATACAGGGTCTTTTAGTGATGTGACTTTCCTGGTCGCTAAAATTGTTTCAGATCATCAGCTTAGAAGTAAGAATATCCTTTCATTGGTGAACATCTTTCAATCGTTTGCTGCGGGTCTATGAATACTTGTCAAAACTCCTCTTTTCATTAGCCTGTCAAATGGGCAAATCATGTCAAAGTCGAAGTCGAAAATGGTCTGATCCAAATTGATTCATTTAATTAATGTTTATCCATTTTTACTCAATTACAATTTAAGCAACACATACTCGACAGAATCCAACATATAGTAATCAAAATACATCAATATTTATTTCATCCTGTGAAAATTCTTATTTTAAGCTCTTCAGAACTATGATACTTGTTTGACAAAAAAAAATTGTGATATTTAGATAATATTTTGCATTAAAATAAAAAAGTAAATTAATAAAATAAAAAGTTTTCACTTCTTTTGGCTTGTCCCACCTCACTCATGAGCGGTTTTTTTTTTTTACAATCAAAGAAAATGATGGTAATTTCTATTTCATTCCATTCTTCCAATTCTATTCCATTGCATTCGAAATGTTAATGAATGTCAATGCTAACTATTCAATATTACTATTAGGGGATGTTAACCTTATTTGTGTTTTTTGATAGGTTTGGATGATACATCGTTGATCCGTTGATTGGCCATGTGTGTTTTACAATGATATCTTTGTTGGGTTTGTCAAAATTGAATGACGAATAATCCAATAATCGCATCAGAATTGAACATGCAAACAATGAGAATCATTTTACTTTGCAATCCATTTAATTCTTAAGTTCAAATTAACAAAATCGATTTTCCTTTAAAGTTAAGTCTCCACACCCGTTTTAATCTTAAAAGGTCAATTGAATTAAAATACGAGTCATTTAAGCAACCCATCATGACCCAAAATAACCCATTTTATAGGGCATTATTTTTTCATTAACTCATTTTGCCCTGCTTTACCATTAAATGAGTTACGCATTCTATAGGAGCTCGTTAATTATGAGTTAACCCATTTTGCCAACTCTACCTTTCAAATGTCGGCATTTACGTGCTTATGAAGATTTAGGGAGTCTTGAGCACATTTTAAATACTCCAATGAAAAGAAAATAGCAAAAAGTAAAAGAGATGGAAAACAATCCCTCAAAGTCATTCATGCGAAATATAAAAAGAAGGCACCGTTGACTTCTTCTCGCAAGTCGTGACGAATCGTGATTGCTCACTTAATCTACACGTGACTGATGAGATTTATGCCGTAATAAATATGAAATGTACCTTTTCCTTCTTTTTCCAATCAAAATTTCTTATTAACTGTCAAAAGAAAATAAACCTCTTATGAACAACGATACGGCATAATTGGCCTAATTAATCAAAGATTTCGTATCGAGCATAAATCAAGATTTCGTTAATGTCAGAATATAACAGGCGCGAGTCTGACTCTCGCCACCACTACGACATGGCGTTTTAGCGGCACTACACTCGGCCTCATCGAACTCCTCCGACGTGCGGCTGTTGCGTCGGCTCCTGCTTCATCAAAGCTAATTCTCTGCCTTCAAAATCTTCAGAGAAAGTGCGTCCAGTTCAAGCTAGGGCTCGCGGAGAGTTAATTTGGCGTGTCCTCCGCGAAATTCATTCGTCGCGCAGCCGACGCTCTTCAGCAATTGAGAAGCCACAGGGTTGTCTTCTTCTCTATCCACCTTCCCATTACGCTCGCCCCTGCTCTGTTCTATCTCTCGCGAATCTAGAATTGCGAGCTCAGTCGTCTCAATCAGGTAAATTTGGTCGATTTCAGACGGGTTTCAGCTCGTGTTTTTTGGAACTTCATTTTATTGGGGGAGTTCGTGAATTAGTTACCTTACCAACTTGGTTCCTGAATTGGAGTTCTGCTTGCTGTTAGGGTTTCTTCTTGCTTGGGCTTTGCAATTCCCCTTTTGATGTCGGTCGAATCTTTTTTATCATCGTAAAAACGGATTGCGTCCCTAGTTTCCGGTTGTTCCTGTCGCGAATCGATGGTTTGAATCGGTTGAGCTCTGCCTCGAGTTTGCTTTCGTGTTGCTCTTTGTTGATTCTACGAAATACATAATTGCCTGCTTTTGTGTTTCTTGTTTACTTAAGAGGGCAATGATTGTTTCGCGCATGGAACATGAAAAATTGGAAGTGGCAAACGGGTGTAAAATCTCTATCGTGTTTATGCATGTAAGTAAGATGCAGAGAAAGAACTTTTGCTTCAATAGATAATAAGAGAAAAGTTTGATTTATGTTGATGATGAGTGCCTTTGATTTTGGAAAAGTTAGGGTAACTTCATCAATTAATGGGAATATCAAACTACATTGCCGAACATTTTTTTCTCATGCTTTTGACAGGAAGTAGTAGCATTTCCATCTGACTGATGTCCTCACATTAATCATCTTATACAAACAACCCTCCTTGAACAGGCATCATTGGCAGCACCTGGCTGAAGGTTATAGCATTGGCGTAAAGGGTTCGAAACTTGAATAGAGTGAGGAGATGGAATTAGATGAATCTCCCTCCAGAGAGAAGCGAGATGTGGGAGACGGTGATTCCGAGGAAATTGGTGGGCATAAGTCTAGAGATTCGAGTAAGCATAGGAATAAGGATCGGAAAAAGAGTGGTCACCGAGAAGAGAAGGATCAAGGGAACAAAGAAAAAGATAAAGAAGCAAAAGATGATAGGCTCTCAATTAGGGATAGGCGGAAGGATGATAGAGATGAGCGTGAGAAGGATAGGAGGAAGGAAGATGGAGAAGAGCACGAGAAGGATAGGGGCAGGATTACTAAGGGTAGAGAGAAAGAGAGAGATTATGAACAGCGTGACAAACATAGAGACAAGGAGCGCGAGCGCGAGAGGGAAAAAGATCGAAAGGATAGACGGAAGGATCGAGAGGTAGAAAAGGAGAGTGATGACAAAGAGAAGGGGAAAGAGAAGAGTAGCAGGGAGAAAGAAAGAGAGAGGGAAAAGGAGAAGCCAAGGGAGAAGGAGAGAGAAAAGTATAGAGACAAAGGGAGAGAAAAGGAGAAGGACAGGTTGACAGATGAAGCAAAGGAGAAGAGCAATAGGCAGAGGGACAGGGAGGAAGATCATGACAGAGACAGGTCTAGAGATAAAGAAAGGGTAATCAAGAAAGGGGATGCACACGACTATGATAGGAGCAAGGGTGATAGAGTGGAATTTGACATTGCCGAAGAAAAGGAAGATGTTGGGCACGGGCAAAATCCTGATAGTGCTTCGGATGGAGCTAGGTTGTCCGCCTCCGAACTACAGGGCCGCATCTCAAAGTAAGTGGACATTCATTGTGCTTTTAGGGAATTGGTTTTCTATGTTCAGTCAAGTTGTATCTGAATCTCGATCGCACTAGGTTTTCAACCTTTTTGTTCCCGAGTACATGTTGCGACTTCACTAAGGCATGCTGTTCTGATCCTCAAAACTCAAGGACAATTGGGGTTAAACATTCTGGATTTTTTTGCTCCATGGATTTTTACTAAAGACTTGCATGATATGCATTTGTTTTTTCTACTTGGTCTGATCCTCAAACCTGTTACCATTTGCTTTCACCCATTAACATGTAAAGTCAGTCTTTTTTTAACTGCTCTATTTCTGTGATGTGAAGAAAGAAGTTGAATATCTGTCTTCTATATAGGGCAAAAGAAGAGAGACTGAAAAGACAGCCCGAGTCTGAGGGTGCGTCTGAGATATTGGCATGGGTTAATAGGAGTCGTAAGCTTGAACAGAAAAGGAATGCAGAAAGGGAGAAAGTCCTGCGGCTATCGAAAGTATTTGAGGAGCAGGTCAGATTGTGATTTTAGATGCCTTTTTATAAATACGTAATTGATGTACGTAACTAGGTAACTAATCCTCTTATGCTCATTATCAGGATGATATTGGTCACGGAGAGAGCGAAGATGAGCAAGAAGTTCCCAGAAATGCTCGTATGATTTCTTCAACTCCTGGATAAAGATTAATCTTTTAGAGAACTTTTGTGAATTACATCATGTACATGTTCTATACTTTCTGCTTTATGACTTCTGTTGAACTAAGAAGCATGTGATGAGTTGACTATATGCCATTGTCAAACTTACACTCATGCTTTGCAATTGTGTTGGGAACACTAGAACATGAGATTATTAGGACCTAATGGTGCATGCGTGCTGTTGTATTTGCTCAGCCTTCTTTTTCATTCATGCACTTGCTAAGTGTAGCTTATTCCGTCCAGAATGGTCTTATCTCTACTTGATTTATCCTTGTTTATTGTTGTAGGGAATATCGATACGTATTTTTTTATTGTGCTTTAAGCTTCTATAAGATTGATCTTATTGCATATAGAACGACTTTGTTGACAGATGATCTAGCGGGGGTGAAAGTACTTCACGGACTTGATAAGGTTATTGAAGGTGGAGCAGTTGTTTTGACACTCAAAGATCAGAACATACTTGCAAATGGAGACGTCAATGAAGGTAAGCCTTTGGCAATCGTGTTATCTTTGGTCCTTATTACTTGTTTAATTTTATGTTTGATCTAGTTTTGCTTGTAAATGCAGAAGTTGATATGCTTGAGAACGTGGAAATTGGAGAGCAGAAACAGAGGGATGATGCTTACAAAGCTGCCAAGAAGAAAACTGGAATATATGATGACAAGTAAGCAATATTCTTATCCCTAGTTGTATTTGCATACACTCAACTTATTATTGGCACTGTCGTTTCAGATTCAGTGATGACCCTGCATCGGAGAAGAAAATGCTTCCACAATATGATGATCCGGCTCAAGATGAGGTTAGTTTTTTTCTCTTATCTGATTACAAGTGTTATATCTAGCTATTGAGTTCCCACATCTTTTGATGGTTTCAGGGGGTAACTCTTGACTCAAGTGGACGTTTCACCAACGAAGCTGAAAAGAAACTGGAAGAGGTAACTAATTTTTCTGCATATTGTGGTTCAGCATTAGTTAGAATAGGAATGAGGTCTGCTTGGTTGTTCTAAAGAAGTTTCATGTGCTTCATATACAGCTAAGAAGGAGGCTACAGAGTGCTTCTTCAAGTAGTCATTATGAAGATCTCAGCTCATCTGCCAAGACCTCGTCCGATTATTACACTCAAGAAGAAATGCTACAATTCAGAAAGCCCAAGAAGAAGAAATCCTTACGGAAGAAAGAGAAGTTGGACTTAGATGCCCTTGAAGCAGAAGCAGTTTCGGCAGGGTTGGGTGTTGGAGATCTTGGATCACGTAAGGATGGGAGGAGGCAGGCTAGCAGAGAGGAACAAGAGAAAATCGAGGCTGAGATGAGAAAGAATGCCTACCAATTGGCCTATGCTAAAGCAGAGGAGGCATCTAGGTCACTGCGGGTGGAGCAAACTCTTCCTGTTAAGGCGGAGAATGACGAAAACATGGTCATTGCCGACGATGATGAAGATCTTTATAAATCTTTAGAGAGAGCAAGGAAATTGGCTCTAAAGAAGCGAGAAGAGGAGGGAGCTTCTGGTCCTAAAGCGATAGCTCTTCGTGCCACTCGTATTCCCAGCACACACAATGCAGAAAATCAGAGTCTTGCGACTGGAGAGTCACAGGAAAGCAGGGTTGTCATGACAGAAATAGAAGGGTTTGTTTCAGGCCTCGAGGTTGATGAAGGTATACGCTTGATTAATTCTGTGTTGGCCTGGACAATATGTAATCATATTTTCTTTCTCAACTGTCGAACCCTTATTTTGTTCTCCAGATTTTTAGATTACTGCCTTTTGCTGATTTGGGTAGCACCTCTGCTTATTGGGTCAAAACTAGTTTAAGTTGGCTGTTTAGTTTAGAATCCTGGAAATGTTCGGATGCTCAATGAGCAACATGTTGTATGCATACCGAAAGATTGTTTATAAGTGACATCTTTTAGAACTCGCGTTTTGTGTTTGTGCAAACTAGCAGTGCACTTGATATGCCTCGCAGAACAACATACTGGACAACTTGCAAACAAGCAAACTTTTCACATACAATTTGCAGTCTGTTGCTCATGCAGTCACATTGGCTTGTTTATTTGGGATGCATTTAAACTTTTGAACTATCATAAAATTCTTAATTGCTGGTCAAGGGGATTGCTGTCTTAAAGAGTGGTGGACTTATTAAACTTTTTTGGCCATATTGGAATTGCTTAGTTTTAAAACCACAATAAGTACTCAGGATATATGCTGTCCAAGAATGCTGTTAATTCTACTGAAGGAGAGAGGGACGTGCATATTGGGCTTGCATTGCAGTTATGAGATTCCATTCATGTAATTGAATTTGCTTCCTCTTCAAATTGGTGTTATATCCACCAATTGCTTTATTATGGTCACTTGATATGGCCTTTGGTGTCTGAAAGAATTTGTGATGTTACTTTCTCATCAAGAGAGTTACTGAAATCGTGCCATTACCCCTCATGTTCCAGCATCTCGTAAGCCTGACACTGAAGATGTCTTCATGGATGAAGACGAAGCACCGGTAACATCTGATAATGAAATAAAAGATGAGCCCGGAGGCTGGACAGAATTTAAAGAATTTGGTGATGATGAAGGTCCTGTTGATGAGGATATGGAGGAAGCTGTCCCAGATGAGACAATTCATGAAGCTGCAGTGGGGAAAGGGCTGTCAGGTGCCCTAAGGCTGCTCAAGGAACGGGGAACGCTTAAAGAAACTGTTGAGTGGGGTGGTAGAAACATGGATAAGAAGAAAAGCAAGCTCGTAGGCATTGCAGATGATGGACCGAAAGAGATCCGTATTGAAAGGACGGATGAATTTGGCCGAATAGTAAGTTTGTTGAAAGGAAAAAATATTAGATATCATAAAATAGCCTTGTAATACTAAATTCTCCATTATAATTTTTTTTGCGTATGACAATGAAAAGCCAATTCATTACTTTGATTGTTTTGCAACAGTTAACCCCAAAGGAAGCTTTCCGATTGATTTCCCATAAATTTCATGGAAAAGGGCCTGGCAAAATGAAGCAAGAGAAGCGCATGAAGCAATACCATGAGGAATTGAAGTTGAAGCAGATGAAGAATTCAGACACGCCTTCTTTGTCTGCAGAGAGGATGAGGGAAGCTCAAGCTCAAATGAAGACACCTTATCTTGTGCTTAGTGGTCATGTTAAGCCAGGGTATGTTTTCCTGTGTTAAATAATCAAGTTGCTATTTCTTTATTCACTGGCAATTAAGTACGTAACATTTTAGATTAACCTGACTCTATAAGATGTCAATGTGGAGTGTCTTGTTCCACGACCAAAGTGCTCAACTGTCTTTTTCATTTGCTTCTTCAGATTTTCTATTTATCCCACATTCCTTGGAGCCTGGACTCTGTCAAGGATATGTTTCTGTTTGCTTATGTACAGCTCCATAGATCACTGCCCGGAAGACTCTTTCTGGATTATATGTCCCCAGACGTTTTGAGAGGAATCTCCAGTTCCTAGACTTGTGAATTTGTTAACTAATAAATCATAACCAATGACCATGCATCATAGATCAGCCTATAGATGCCTCTCTCATTATATTTAAAAAGGCGGCATCTTAATGGAAATTTGAGTGGTCTGACTTGCTTGATTGATCATAAACAATTTATATCTAAGAAGACAATCAGACATCATATAAGAAGTCTAGGCTAGACTTTTTGCAATGTATATTTACTATCGTAATTGAATGATAAATAATGATTAGATTTTTGTTGCTTTGTGCCTGTTTATTTAATTGATTTTTTTTCTTCTGGGTTGTTTGCAGTCAAAACAGTGATCCGAGAAGTGGTTTTGCCACCATTGAGAAAGATCCTGGGAGCTTAACACCCATGCTTGGAGATAGGAAGGTCAGTGTCGACCCAAGTTTGAATGTAGGATTACTATTATTTTTTTGCAAACAGGAAATTGGCTTTAGTTTTTTTGCACTATAATCTTTAACGCCAATTATCACGATGCGTCTCAGGTTCAAAGTTTTATATGCATGTGGCATTGCCAGGCTATACTTTTAACTCCACTTGGAATAATTTTTATGAGTATTTGCCACCATTTGATCATTTTTGTACTTCTGCTTCCAGATACATTTTAGTTGAGTCACTAGACTTTTAGAAGAAAAGCAAGGTCTTAGGCATCACAATTCTAGTGATATTTTTATCAAGCTGGGTTTGTCAGATGGTATTAGGGCTTTTCTCTTCTCGTTTTGTTTCTTTTACCTGGGAATCTTCTCTTTCCATCTATGCCCTCATTCCTTTGTCCTGGCTTTTAAAGCACCTGCCCTTGGTTCATACTTCATAGGTTCTGATGTTCGGCTGTATTCTAGGTTGAGCATTTCTTGGGGATAAAGCGGAAGCCTGAGCCTAGTAATTTGGGAGCACCAAAGAAGCCGAAAACTTGAAGTGTTCTTGACAGGTCTTCTATAATTTGTCAAGTTTGGAGCAACTTACTTTTGGAGCTGGAGATGCTCTTGTTGCTTTCGAAGATGTAGTTAGACCTGTAATGCCAACAAGACAACAAGGTGGCAATTTTTGAGAATCCTTTGTTGCCCAAGAATTTAATGGCACCTTCACTAGCGATCTTCTTCATTGTTACTGTTCCTAGAGATAGTTGTACAGATTTTATGATTCACAGGTGGCTACATCACAGATGCTACTCTTGCTGTTAGAGAAATGACCAAGCAAGTGAAATGCCCTGCATGTGTTTATGGAGAGATAATGGCCATCGGTGTAAACCTTGCTTTGATTTGCTGGGCATGCATGCTCGTGTGCGAATGTGGTTGGGTGTGTGCATGTCTCTGCTTGTATACAGCTGCGGTTGCATGATTTTGAGAACCTGTAGAACACTCAAGAATCTTGCAATGGGGACATAATTATCTTTCTGAAGGAGGTAGAGGTCACTCTTCTTTAAAGCCGTTTGTCAAATCTTTTTCCTGTTTCAGTTCCATATCTCCTCCACTAAATGGTGTGGCTCTCTGACTGGGAATGCATGCCTTCCGAGGAATGGTTCTCAACAACTTAATTGGTATTACTGTACGCAGTAAGATGCCTTTTATCTTCGAGAGTTATCGGTGTCAATTACTTGCGGATGAGCCTAACTTTGGCGCTGTGGGTTGAAGGTTTATGAATTAGCAAGGTCACCGACTACTGAGTTTCCAGAAACCAATACAGCATAAATAGTCGGGCAATACGTCCTTTGTTCACTTGGCTCACTATAAATTGGCGACTTTATCATAAAAGAGTCTTTTCATCCAGCCCTCCCTAGACACTTAGTTCGGAATCTTTGGATAGCATTTGAGGATAAAGGGTGGTTATTCATCATTACTCTTCCTCTGGTGTTCTGAATTGCTTAATATTTACGGGTCTCGATACTGTGTGTAATATGGTGTAATTTAGCTCACTCAACAACGACGATCAGTGCATTTAAGTGTAGATAAGAGTTTTCCAGTTAATTGGATTATAGTTCGTTTCACCGATGGACACGAGAGAAGGAGAAAAATCTATTGCAAATCATCCATCAACCGAGTTAGATATCGAAGCTGACTGTACATTTGAAGGCAGGAAATTGCCCACATGACAACTCATTTATATTTGGTGACATGACACTGTTTCAAAGTTGTCCTCAGGCTGGAAGATGTCTAGCATTTTACGTCTGATTGAAATAATCCAGAATGCAAAATTCAATCGTGAACTCGTGCAAGTGATAAACAATATCCAGAACAAATTGTGCATAGGATTGATGAAGTCAACAAGCCTCGCAAAATAGTAAAGAGCATTCAACTGCACACCATCAACAGGGGCTTTGCTTAAGCAACGAAAAAGAAGGCAAGGCATAAACTTTTAGATGCCTTGGCATGGACATGCAACATCGGTCCAGCAACTAATGACAGCACAACAGTTTTTTTCTCTAACCACTGACAGCACGATTTTTTGAATCATATACAAATCAATTGAACAACTGCAAGAAAACGTATTTTTACTACTCAACCAAATAGGTCCAAGGATGGAACAAGTGCCACAATGGCTTCAATACATCCATGACAAATCTTGCCTGAAAGAAACAGATTCTGCAGCACCTTGAAGGCCCCTTTCTGAAATTTGAGGACAATCTTCCACCACAAGCAACTCTAACTTTTGTGATCCCACAAGTGGCTTCAGGCCATCATCGGTAACTCCCAGGCACTTTACCAATCGCAAGGTGCGCAAAGAAGGAAAGTGGATCACATGCTGCATTCCCTCATCACTTACCTCGTGGCATCTAACAAACTGCAAGAGCTCTAAATACTGAGCAGAGCACAGTGCCTCCATCCCATCATCATTGAAGGAGTCCACATGGTCGAGAGCTAGTTTGCGGATGGGGCACATTTTAACCAAACTAAGAATACCGTTCAATGTGAATGAAGAAAATGAAGGAAACTCCCCGTCCGAGAAGGATATCATAATCTCTTCAAGCATCGAACAATTCTGAGCCAAAGCTTTTAGACTCTCATCTGTCAATCTCAATGGGTTATTCATCAAAAGTGGTAGTGAGTAGTCTGACGGGACTCGAAGTGACAGAGAACGAAGGTTCGTGGACTTTTGCGATAAACTGATGATATCGCAGTCCCTGATCCCAACACACATGTCCAAGCAAATACTCTCTAGGTTTTCACATTGACCCAGCACAGAAGCAAGACCTCTCCCAGGGTGGATGATGCAATTGACCAAGCTCATCTCCAGCATATTCTCACATGGGACCTGCTGTGTTAGCCATCGATCCACTGAGCGATCATGAACCTTCATGTATCTGTAGTTAGCATCTACTTCAAACTGCAAACGCCTGAGTTTTCTCCAACTAGCACCTAGCTTAACCAAATCACCCTCACCGATTGCCCTACAATTTTTTATTGCAAGATCTTCTAGAGTTTCAAGCTTTCCAATGTGGTCTAACCACTCAACACTTGAAACGTTTAAACAGCGGATAAGATGGAGAACAGTGAGACTTTTGCAGCCCAGCACAAGAGATAATATGCCACAGCCAGTAACTCGTGGTGTAAAGTTCAACTTCAAAGCAGAGAGCTTGGAACACGAAGTCAAATGGCGAAGACCCACATCCGTTATGAACACGCAGTAACTTAAGGTGAGATTCTTCAAAGAGGGACAATAGTTGGAAAGAATAAGAAGCCCTTGGTCATCCAACTGTTTCCCCAATTTGGACATCCAACCTGCATAACTTATCTCTACCTTTGCCAAATTTGGGAACCTGATGCAGAGGGCAGTCAGAGCTTCGTTTGCAGGGTCTAATCCACAACCAACACGAAGAGAATGTCTTTGTTCATTGTCCAGCATGTAAAGCCTTTTACATGCTAGAGAAGTAGCATTCCTGTCTGTGGTTTTCACGATCCTGTCCAAGATTTCCCAAACCAATTGATCCGGTAAACCATCCATCAGGAACAGGTAACCTCTCGCTACATGCAAGACAAAGTAGAAATGACCTGAAAATATTCAAACATATATTGATGAGTGAAAAGGACGTGAAAAATCCATATCAATCAACTGATCACAATTTTCTCTCCTAAAACCATATGAGACAAATTCACATCAAAGTCGTCGCCAATCATTACTTTCTTTGACCAAGTTCGCCAATTATTGGTAAGTGATATATTTGTCAATCATATGCAAAACAAACCTTAAAATGGCTCAATCAGTCTAGGAAGGAATGAAACAACAACTACAAAAGCAGATACATAGGGTAACAAAATCAACAAAAGCTTTGACAAGGAAGTTTTGCAGCAGTCAAAATGATTAATACAACTAAGATAAACAGACAAAACATTAGCAGCTACAAAAGCATTCAGTTGCAACTAGAAAATCAAATCAATGGTGCATTTATTTCGCGGAAAATGAATGATTTGGAAAATATTTTCCCAATAATGATTGCTTGTATCGCTTTTGAAAATGAGTGAACGAACTTTTTTTTATCGTCCGTGAAAATGTTTAGACATAAGTTATTGTCGACAATGAAAATATTTTTTATTGACTAATTATTTCAAGCGATATAAGCAATTATATTTAGGAAAATGTATTCCAAATCATTCATTTTCCGCGAAACAAACGGAACCTAAGTACTTTCAAAGTTCAACCAAGCAGTGTGATATAATGCCTTAATATGACCAGCACAAGAATTTGAAAGAATGGCAATTCATCGTATCAGAAACGAAAACAGAGAGAAATCCTGCCACGCTATATCATGCCAAACATACAAAGGCGATCTAAATATATCAAATTTCGCAACCGAGTCTACATGTTGTATCCTCAAACGCTACATTTCCTTTATCCAGAAAAACCAACAAAATTTGCAAACAAAAACACCTATACATTAAGAATCATAGTTCACTGATTCAAGATGCCACCAGTTCTAACCGCGAGGGTAATCACCCATCATTCAAAAACACGTGTAATACTTATCCAACACAGTCATCAGGTGAAATTCTCCATCAGAAGAAAGCTTTAAACTTCAAATTACAGCGCAGGCCAGTCGAAGAATTCATCCCCGCCGCATCAATTTCACATGGTATTCTCGCGATGGCACGAGAAAACAGGGGAAAAAACACGAGACAGTGTAGAAAAAATTAAGGAAAATGAAGCACCCAATAGCTGAAGAAACGCTACTTTACCAGGAAATCAGTCGGAAAGATGACGTGATTGGAGATCGCTGCGAAAACTGTCGATGATGTCGAAAAGTTTCAAGTTTTTCTGTGACAATTTCGAGCTCGGTTAATCGCCGATCCGAAGATGACGAGCGGTGCTTGAAGAGGGACGCTGAATATGAAAATGCTCAGAATTACATAAGTATCCTCGTCTTTCTTTCGATTTTTCCTCTTTTTGTTTTTGCTATTACAAATAATCATTCTTCACAGTGTAATAACGATAACGACACTTAATGGCTTCTTTTAAAATAAAGAATATTCTTTCGTAATTAATAAAAACATGCATGCATAAATGATTGAATCCAACTCGCAAATGCTGGGTTTTTTCTTCCGCAGACATGCGAATTGAAAATTGTCCGAAGAAGAAGAGGTTTAGTAAAAGGAAAATCCTTATACAGATAACTAATCTAAGCTTTATACTATGTATACAAGACAACCGTGCTCACCGTAGAACGCGCAACCGCAATACCGATTAGCAAAGGAAAATGCGAAAATCTCTCAAAAAGTTGATACTGTTGATAATTGGTCGACATGGGCGTAGGCTGATGATAATGTCAAGATCAACATCAAAGTTTCAATTTACCAAATATCCATGGCTCGGGAACAACTTGGTGAAGTTGAAGGAACGGAAAGGGGGGGGGGGGGGGGTAGATTGGTCTTTTCAAGTGCCCAAAGAGGCTCACAAAAGGGGGACGGGAAATATCGAATGGGGGGCCATCATGTGGGTCCGGCCAGCTATGATGTCGGTGGGGCCCACAAAACGGAAAAGATCTCTCTCCTCGTCCCATTTCAAAAACCTCTCCGTACCGCCTTGCGCTTCGTTGCGATGGCGACCCAAGTCTCCTCTCTTCTCCTCTCTCTATCTCTCGACACCCGACCAAACCCTAACTCCTCCTCCTCCTTTCTCTCTTGCACCGAACACCATTCACTCCGGCGAAACCGATCGCACCTGGATCCTCCTCCTCAGCCCAAACGGCAGCCGTCGCTCTCCGATCGCCCTTCCACGAGCGCGAAACCCCAACTCGAAGCGCGTCGTCCATTTCGGACCTCCCGTGTCGTTCACCCTTCTCTCGCGAACCATCCGCAATCGATGATGAAGAAGGAAGATGCGAGGGCGAGAGTGAAGGAGAGAAGGCGGCGAAGGGAATCTGATGCGAGCCTCTTCCACTTTCGGCGCTCTTCCTTCTGCCGGATCTG